AGTATTCATTCAGTATTCAGTATTCATTCAGTATTCATTCAGTATTCAGTATTCATTCAGTATTCAGTATTGTGTAAGATAAGGTGACGGATTTCATTTTATCCTACTCAAGAAAATATTCCGCTCACAAAATACCAGGAAACAGAACACGGAACATTAATCGATGAACTGCTGCCAGATACCGAGCAAATATTTACGGGTATGATTTCTACAATATTGTACTAAAATACTATGCTGATATACAACAACTCAAATATAACAAGGCAGAATAGTGCGAACCTTGAGCATAAAATTAAACAAAACAACTTTGATCCAGTTGTCACTTACCTAAAGCTGAGATCTCAAGATATAAAGAAGATAGAGACTATCCAGTAAAACACGCACCTGTTCGTAATTATACCTTATCAAGATATTTAACAAAGACAAACACTGAGTTCTAATGTAAAGGGACGGTCCACTAATTGAGGTAAGAATTAACACTATCTTTCATTGGTTATTATATTTAAAAATTCCTCGCACACTGTTCAATTTTTTGAGATCTTCTGATATAATTGTAGAAAATATAAAATATCTAGACCAGTCCTGACAAGAGATTTGAGTCAAATACATTGCACAGCTGCTACCGTGACTATTCTGTACTAGGTCTATGGCTATTATACAATGACATATTATTCTTGAGGCTGTAAAGTAACCGTCCTGTAAGTACTCTCTATAAATTACATTTCATATCAAACAGTCAGTGTAATACGTGATCGAGTACACTATATATTTATCAGCTTCTACATTTTGTTGACACGTATTTCTTTCAAGAAAGTCACATTTTTATCAATTCACTTTAGTTTTATTTGGTTCTTAAATTAAGCAAATATCTGTCAAGTACAAACACAGCTGTTGCCGTAAATTTACTTTACAATGACGGTACAATCTTGGTACGATCGAGTAACCGTCCTGAAAAGTGCTTTCTCATTACGTTACCATATCAACCAGGTGTTGTCCTAAACTGTACACTCTAGTTAAATTTAGCTAGCACATAAGTCAGTATATCCCTTTATCAGTACATTGTACTGCAGAGGTCGCCTTGAACCAGATGTTAATAATGTCGATAGACAACTGATGTAATTGTACGTGAACGTGTACACTATTCATTTAACGACTTCTGCTGTGTGATGAATGTATTTAGTTGATACTTTGTATCGCATAATGTAGGGTTAGATAATTGCTTGATGGGTTAAACTAGGCTAAAATGTGTAAAATAATAATATAAACACATTTGAGAACGACTCCGACTGGGATTCGAACTTGTAACCTCTGGCTAAAATGTGGCAGATTAGTCAACTGTGCTAAAGCTAAATGTGCCTCAATTTTAGGGGTAAACGGAGCTCGAAAAAATCCTCTTACACTACTCTCGTTAGGATTAGTATAGGGTTTTAGCATATGTTTATTGCTTTAGTTAAGTTGGGGATTGGGTTAGGGTTAGGGTTAACGAGGGTTAACGAGTCATACTCGTAAAATATTTGTTTCAAATATTTGATATTACCTTGTCATACGTTGTATGACCCGCCGCGCACGAGTGCGCGGCTCCCCCTGTATCGTCGAATCTCTACAGGGTGAAGCGACCGTGGGGTCACTTGTATCACGTTGCGACCCCCACGGTCGTTTCACTATGTCCCTTTATCGTTACGACGATACATGGGGAGCCGCGCACTTCGTGCGCGGCGGGTCATACAACGTATGACAAGGGGTCACCACGTGATACAAAATATCACGTGATCAAAACAGTTTTCGCCGATATCTAGCTTTTATATAGGGGAGCATTTAACCCATGTTATGTACTTTGAAATCAGCGTTCGAAAATACATCGAATCAGGTAAATTTTAACTATCGTGCGGTCCTTTTAGAAAAATCTCAAAGATCGACTGTAAAGTGCGTGCATGATCAATGATTGATAATATTAAGCACGCTCAAAAAATATTTTTCTTAATTTTACAAAAATGCAATATTTTAATAACAAATAAAACATTTTACCACACATATTGATTAAAGATATTGACCAAATTATTTTAAAAATACATTAAAATTGTTCTTTATTTAGAGAACAATTTAGAGAATAGGTAAAAATGTTGTAGCGCAATGCGTTATTGGGCCGCGCCGCGCACTCAATTATGCTTCCGGCAACTACACCATTAAAATTCATTTTTTCTGCTTTTCATTGGAAAAATATTTTATTTTTTGAATCAAGTAAAGTAAAGTAAAATTTATGACATAACATCATCGCACATGTTTTCAAAATATGATTGCATTATGTAAAAAATATTTAATAAATTTTTCTCCACCAACATTAATTATTTATTTTACAGGTAATACTCGTAAAATATTTATTTCAGATATTATATAATAATAAGACCGTCGACGAGTTCAACTCGGCGCGCGTACTGGTAGGTTATAAACCTACAATTATTTATCAAATACAATATTTATTAAAAATTTATCAAAAAATTATCCTATTTTAAAATAATACAGGTAATAGTGAATTACGGTACATTTTAAATTTCGTTATTAGGTTACACCGAATAATATACAATATAACAATATCAAATATAGTCAATAGTATAAATATAGACCATCATGCATCAATAATATCAAGTTAACGTTATTTGATCCTCACCTAATTTGCTTTCAATTATTTGTCCATTGATATTTAGTGGTGTCAACATGAATTCGGAATTGTAGCTTCCTCCTTTTTAGCTCCTATTATTGTTTGCAGAGATTTTTATAATAATGTAAGCGACACGGTATTGTTGGACAATACATTTGTATCCTTGTATCCTTGTATCCTTGTACATAATATCTGATAGTGGTCTATATTTTATATTTTTACATAATATCTGATAGTGGTCTTTTTATTATGATAATCCATCTACAATTTAGTTTGACCACAGCTTAAGATAGCTTTACATCTGGAATCAAAACAAATTCCTCATATTATATATTATGACTGACTACACCTGGTTAAGTAAGTAAAATACAATTTTTATTTTCCACAGAAGAATCAATACATATTGAATTATAAATATCCGATAATTCCATTAATAATCATTAAAAGTTGCTTTGTCATTTGTAAAATCAAAAACGAAAAGCCCTACGCTGAGCGCGCGCGGCATTTTTTCTGCAGCTGCCTAGCTTCAAGCTTGTAGCCGCTAACATCAAAGCCGCCGCGCGCGCCCAGTGCTGGGGTGCATTCTCATTAACAATTAAACTTGGTCAAATATATTTATATACAATTCCTAAATTAAATCAATAATCATGTTAATATGAGTATTCAACACTACTCGACAACAAATATTTGCCGGCCCATCAACGATTCAGTCGCCGAAACAAAAATCAAATGTTTGCTTTTTCGTTTCGGGGACTGTTTGAACTCAGTACCATATCCGACTAATCACACTTTATAATGGTTAAAATAAAAAGTAAAAAGATTTTCCTCGATGGGCCGGCATTCGCAACTGCGAAACGTTTTGAGTATGACAAACGATGACACCACCACCAGCCGTTAATTGATAAGTCCATGGGTGACGGGATAAAGTTAAAGTAAGATGTGTAATTTCATATTGCCTATCACCTATCACCTAAGTTACTTTGCATATACTGCTTCTAGTTACACGATAGCTATCTCGGTTCCCAATAACGTGTGACCCAACAGAGGGGATTGTGGAAGGACACGTACATTTTTCATTAACACGTGCCCTGATTACCCCCTCCGCTGAGCTACTATACGGGGAACGTTGACCGCCAGTCTGTAGTCAGATCGTTAATAAATTATACTTTAAAATTGGTTGCCGGGTGATGGTGCCAGTGAGAGACGTTAAGTTAGGTGAACATTGGTACAAAAATATAATAATCTAGTTTATCTCAAAGTTAAAATCACTATTTGTTAAAGTATACAAACAGTTCTATTCAAAAGAACAAAGTCCGAGAGCAGAGAGAAGATTTGGAGACTATACACGCATATGTGGGGTTTAAATTTGGTATTAGTAATTTTAGGGTTCGACCGAAAATGTTGGTCGGTTGGTTAATAGGGAGCAGTCACTGTCATTAGAATTATCAGATTAGGAGCAACAATTAGAATCAAATTGAACATATTGTGTATTGTGTATTGTGAAATCAGTGAAACCTAGAATATAATGGCGCTAAAATGCTAGCGCGCCTTGTTATGCGCGCCAACATACTAGCTGCTGAAAATAAAGAAGTATATGCATGATAATGTCGTTTGGCGGCAGCGCCTGCCGATACCTGGATTATATTGTGTTTAACTTAGAATTCAGTGAAATTTTTGTCATTCCATTCAGCACCATACCTGTTTTGGGCATTCATCAATGACTTTTGTAATTTATTCTTAACAGAAGAACAAGAGGAATTAAAATTAAATGAGCCAATTTTACAAAACTCATTCCACAGCCACGCTGATTTACTTTAAAAGGATTGTGTTTAATAGGGATAGAATGTTTACAGTTTGTACAGTAGAAATTTTCGTTAATTATTTGTGCTTGAGATGACTTGAAGCATTTAGCATGGAGAATTCTATTACAGTTAAAGCATTCAAAGTGGGGAAGCCCTAATCCAATACTCTTTTGACAGTGATTGCAAATTTCTTTTTGAAGACGATTAATCATACCTGATTTAACCGCCAGACGTCGTCTGCTGAGATGCAGCCGGGTCTCTAGTCACATTGCTGTATAGTCTTCCATTCACTCTACCAGAGCGTCTTCTCTTTTCTTTTCCACCATTTAGTCTAAGAAATATTGATTGTTTAATTATCCCTGCAAACGCTTCTATTCCATTACATAATACTTAATAAATGTATTTAATTGTAGATGTGAAAATAGTTTAAAATTATTTTGAACCCAAAAATCTATAGATAATAGATTTAGGATAGTTGTATTTCTGTTTTCCATGTTTTGATGTTTTCGCGACAGAAGACTATTTAAGTCTTAATACTTTCAACACTACTATATAACAAATAATTTGAGGACCCCTAAACTGCCACTTACTCAAATTTTGTCACTACCCCCCGTGACTACAGTTTAAGACCTGCTCCCCAACAGGATCTTCTTGTGATGCCCCCAAAGATAGATCATATGGAAATTAAAGTGGCCGGGTCGGTGTCTTCGAATTATGTACCATTACAGGATAATGACAATGTATTAAAAGATCCTCGACAGCTTGAGGAAAATGGCACTTGTTCAAACTGTGCAGTTGAAAAAGCCCAAGTTAAAGATGAAACGGTATGTTGTATCAATTGTAAAAAGTTGTTTCATGCCCTCTGTGTGGCTCCTGTTTCAAATGACTCAAACAGTGCTAGGCCCAAGTCTAAGTCAATGCCTAATAATCCCTGTACCAAGTCTTTCTACACAGCTTTTGTACAAAACAGTTCGAACAAAAGTAAAGAACAACATATGGGAAACTTTCTCTTTATGTGTGATCCTTGCTTTACACATCATCAAGTGAAGCAGACTAGCACAACTAATGATCATGTTCAGGTACTTGACAACAGAGTAACACACTTAGCTAGTGATGTCACAGAGATTAAGAAATTATTGGAGAATGTAATTGCTGGGAAATCTATTAACCATTCCCCTGTTGATAATCTCATCTCGACAGCCAAAGCACAGTGTACCTTGAAACCAGCTACTGATCAGGGTGAGAACGTGTGGCTCGATGAAATAAGAACAAAATCCTTGCTGGTTGTTACAAAAGGTGCTAATGTTCCATGTAAAGATCTAGAAAAGACAGTGGTTGATAATGGAATCCAGGTTCATAAGCAATATGTTGATAGTAATGGTGATCAAGTACTCATATTACCAACCCAAGCTTCACGAGATAATCTGAAGACAGAGCTGATATCATCAGGTATAGCTGCTAATCAACTGAAAGAACCAAAGCAAAGATATCCCACTATCTCAGTTGTTGGTCTACCTAAGGATTTTAGTAGAGATCACAAAGAAGAGATAAGGAACACCATCCTGAAGCAAAATCCTTACATTTCTCACTGCCTCAAAGCAGACTCTTCACTGTTTGATGTTCTGTCTGTGAAACCTCTCCGTGCAAACCAAAATATCAAACAAGCCATCATAAGGTTGAGTGATAATATTAGAATTGCTATACAAGATAATAATAACAGGTTGTTCTTCGGTTTACTGTCTTGCCAAGTGTATGACCAACTTTACATAAAGAGATGTAACAAGTGTCAAGGCTTTGGTCACTATTCTAAGACTTGTAAAAACGAAGTGTATTGTGGTTTCTGCGCCGCCCCTGGACATGAAACTCAACAATGTGATAATAAGGACAACAATTCAGAGGAGAAAAATGATCTAATGCCCACATACTGTTGTATCAACTGCAAAAAGTCTGGCTCACCTGATGATTTATGTAAACATGCTGCATTTTCTACTGAGTGTCCTTCTTACCGGGTTCAGCAAGAGAAACTTAAAGCCTCCCTATCTTATTATTCAAAAAACTAGTTTCCTCCAAACCAAAGAAATTGCATCAACTTCGATATATGATCTGGAATGCTAGAAGTCTTAATAATAAGTGTGACGACATTATGTGCTTACTTCAAGATCATGATGTAGACGTTGCTATTGTAACTGAAACATGGTTATCTGACCAAGCCAATACTACAACAGCAGTTATAAAATCATATGGCTACAGTATTGTTCATGATTTCAGAGCAAACAACAGAGGTGGTGGCACTGCTCTGATTTACAACATGGCATTACATTTCTCTGTTGTTAATTTGAAAGTTCCGAACCTGACAACCTTTGAATTCATCGCTGGATCTATAAAGTGCACTCCTGACATGAAGATCCTTGTCCTATGCATCTATCGAACTGGCCCTGTCTCAAAGAAGTTCTTTGAGGAACTTGATGACTTATTGGGTTCTGCAAGTCTGAAAAGTGACTATATAATAATTGGAGGAGATTTCAATATTCACACAGAGTCAATTACTGTAAACTCAACTGAACTGCTGCAGACCACCTCATCTTATGGTTTCAAGCAACTTATTGAAAATCCGACCCACATGAGTGGAGGAACTATTGACCTGCTCTTTGACCAGAGTAACTTTATTGAAACGTCTACAATTGAAATCCTGAAAAACTGTACCCTGAGTGATCACTTCCCCATCATATTTGCCACCAAGAAGTTTCAAACTAACCTCAAAGCTCCTAAAACAATCAATACTAGACAGCTTAAAACCGTGGATTGTGATCAGTTGGCGATTGATTTACTGATGTGTTCCTCTGACTATGAATTGGCAGACTGCTTTGTTGAATCTTGTGAACAATTTTTCCAATGCATTGGTAGTGTCCTCGATGAACATGCACCTTTGGTCCAAAAGACTATAAGCTTTGTTCCCCATGCTCCCTGGTTTGATTCTGAGTACAAAGATCAAAGGAAACTTAGAAGGAAAGCCGAGAGAACTAAGCATAAAAGTGAGGAGAACAGGATACTCTTTGAAGAGATCCGAGATGAAACAACAAACATGGCTAATCTTAAAAAACAACAGTATTATAAAGGTTTACTTGACAAAAATCAACATGATGTTAAAGCTATATATAGCATTGTCAATCGTGAGCTTGACAGACATCAGAATACTCCTCTCCCAGAATCAGAAGATGTTTCAAAACTTTGCAGTGATTTTAATCACTATTTCAATGAAAAGATCAAGAACATTAGGAAAGATTTCCCCAGCATAGAAGATTTTGATGTTGATAAACACATTATGAATCAACAGAACAATTCCAACTGTGAAGGTCGGTTATATGAATTTGAACCATGCACAGAGGATGAGTTGACTGAAATAATCAAAGAAAGTGGAATCAAGTGTGCACCATCTGATTTTCTTCCAACAACTGTCCTCAAAGACAATATCACAAGTTTCATTCCTGTCTTGTGCAAACTGGTGAACCAGTCTCTAGCTAAGGGCACATTCGACGGTTTGAAGACTGCTGACATTATTCCTACCATCAAGGACCACAAACTTGATCCAAATGACTTCAAGAGCTATCGACCTATATCTAACCTCTCTTTTCTGGGTAAACTCATCGAGAGAGTTGTGCTGAAAAGGTTAAATGAACATCTGGCTAAAAATGATCTCAATGTTCCACAGCAATCTGCCTATAAGAAGTTCCATTCTACTGAGACCATCTTGTTAAAAGTAACAAATGACCTACTGCTGGCATGTGATAGCAAATCCTCCACTGTTCTCATGATGCTCGATTTATCTGCAGCCTTTGACACAGTGGAACACAGAAAATTACTCAAAATTCTTTCTGAAGAGATCCATATCGGAGGTACTGCTCTTAAATGGTTCAAGAGTTTCCTGGTAGGCCGCACTCAAAGAACCAGAATAGGCTCTTCTACTAGTGATACGATCATTCTAGAATTTGGTGTACCTCAAGGTTCTGTGTTAGGACCGGTGCTATTCAACATATACATCAGATCTCTGTATAGGACCATCGAGAAATCTGGATTCAATGTGCAAGGATATGCAGATGACCACCAGGTATATAAAACTTTCAAACCTTGTGATCAGGTAAATGTTCTGGGCATCCAAATTGTGAATTGCGCTAGGACCATACAGCGCTGGATGGTTGAATATTGCCTTCAACTTAATCCTGGAAAAACACAAATACTTATCATTGCCTCACCTCAAGTTCTAAACCAGGTCAGTATAGGGGGAGTTAAGCTATCAAATGATACCTGTATCAGATTTGTCAGCACAACAAAGAACCTTGGTGTTCAAATTGACCATCATCTTACTTTTGAGCCTCAAATCATGTCCCTCAAAAAGCATTGTTTCAGACTCCTTAGGAATGTAATAAGGAGAAAATATCTCTTTAGTAAAGCTCAGCTCAAGCTTATAATTAACAGCATCATTGTCTGCAAATTGGACTACTGCAATGCTCTTTATTATGGAATTAGTGACAACCTCATCCACCAACTCCAACTCGTTCAGAATGCAGCTGCTAAAGCTATAGTAGGACTATATAAATATGATCATCTAGGAGACACTCTGAAAGACCTTCATTGGCTGCCTATTAGTTACAGAATTCAATATAAGTTATTGCTTCTTGTCTATAAATGTCTTAATGGTATGGGACCAGATTATTTAAGTGATATGTTTAAATATGCCAATTATAATCATCTTATCTATTTGACTGAACCAAGAGTATATTCACAGTATGGAGAAAGATCATTTCAGAAGGTTGGCCCTAAATTATGGAATGAGCTGCCTCTTGAAATTAAGAATTGCATGTCACTGGAATCTTTTAAAGTGTATCTGAAAACGTTTCTTTTTAAACGTGCTTTTGATATTAATTAATTTACTACTTTTTCAACGTTTCTACTGTTAAGTGCATACCCTTAACCTTGTAATTTAGTGTATCAAGTCTTTACAATTTTCTATGGTTTGGAACCTAAATGTGGATTGCTTTTCAGGTTTTCTTGTATCCTGACTTGTTTTCGTGGCACACCTGTGCATTTTAAGTTGTTGTGCCACTATAATCTATAAGTTTAAATTATTATTATTATTATTATTATTAATATTTCAAAGATTTTGCAGATCCTATTCAAATTAGTATTCAAATTTTAGTTGACCGTTTTATGTATTTCAAAGGGTTTTATTTTCTACCTTTATTGTATCGGTTTATTCATTTTCGAGGGTCTCTAACCTTAAAGCTAGACAATTACCATTGCTGAACTTATCTGTGTATATTGTTTGAACAATTTCCCTTCGAATTATAATTAGTAAGACAAAATTCTTAGTAAAACAAAATTTTTAGTTACCACAAAACAATCAATACATATTTAATATTATTATACATTTACAAATAAATTTAAATTTAAATTCAGCTATATACACAATACACAGCCCACCGCGCAGACAGCCACACATTGCTGAGAGATTCTCAGGTGCAGATGTAAGCGATTGAGAGTCCCGGATAAGATATCGAATTAAGACACTGTCTAGGATTTACATAAAATTGACCAGGCCTTGGCCATGGCCCAGGATATCTTTTCTGTTGCTACTATGCTAGGGCCAGACTTTACTTTGGCCCAGCTGATTTTGAAAATACCTGGGACAAATTCAGGGTGGAATAATGTAATCAGTTTCTAAAATGTGGCCACCACTAATGTACTAATCCCTCTCCCGTCGCCACTATAAAGAGCACAGTACGAAGGCATACAAGTTTTTGTACTGGAAGCAGTTTGCCATAGTTTTACCCTAATTATCTTGTGTACTTGAATTGTAACACAACAACTGCCTGTAATTTGATTTCTCCGACATATCTGATTTTGGTGTGCTTTGGTACAAGCCATACGACAGAACTCCTTGGATCTGTAGGTTCACCCTTACACAATTTTGTAATGTCTATTCTATTCTATTCAGTTAATTCAGTCGAATGATAGGAAAACCATGAAAAACAGTTAAGCCCATGCGACCAAAAGTTGAGGAATAAATGGGCAATGGGGGCTTAAAAACAGCTAAAGCTTGAGTTGTGATGAAAGTGAAATCCTCATCATGTTCGTTGTCCTCTAATTAGCAAGTACAGCTATCTTTCAGCTCAATAGAATATGGTATCAGAAATATTTATTTTTTGATTTATCGATTTTGACTGATTTTGACTTCGGCTTAAATGAGCATGGGCATTGATGGGATTGGGTAGAAAAAACCGTGACATGGTAACCTTGTTGCCTGCACAATAGCAATTCTAACTGCACATCCACATTTTTTGTGAACAAACTGATATGAATTCTATCTGCACAAAATTTCATGTTGTCTGCACACTTAACTTTTCTCAAGGCATGTCGATGGGGAGGCTTAGATAGGAAAATATGAGACTATGAGATGGTAACCATCACGACATGTACTAACATGTATATTGTATACCCAAACAGTTCAAGAATAATGATGCATGTCTGAAACCATGTAATGGGAGCGTGTTTTAGTAAACAACGAAACAAGCCCAATCAAGATGAAGTGACCAGGCAAGATAACTTCCACCATGTAGGACCTTCCAGTTCAGCCTACCCCAACTCTTACACTCCCCAGCCTGTACCTGTCAACCATGCAAAGGAGGTTAGTCAAACTTTAATACTCATTGGTGCTGATGCCACTGCTGCTAGTGTGGTAACTAAAACGAAATTTAAGCAGCAAAATTATGGAATCATTTGTCTTTAAATGTGACATTTTTTATGTATGTTACTTTGGTGATTAAATTTATAAGCATAACTCCGGATGTCAAGAACTCTGTGACAGTTTTAGGCTTTAAAATTAAGTTAAAAGGATTTAAGAAAGATTTCTAAAAGTATTACAAATGATTGCTTTTTTTTTTGGAATGTTTCTAATGAAGTTTTAGTAAGAATAATAAAGAGAAACATAACGATTATCTTTAGCTTTGGTTTCATCCTTATGACGTGGCAAAGAAGCGATTTATAAATCTTTATTCCACTGGGAAGTTTGAGTTTTTTAAATAGGATAATGTTTTGATACATTTTTTTAAAACATTGTATTTGATAAATAATTAATGTTGGTGGGGAAATATTTATTATATATGTTTTCACATAGTGCGATGATATTTTGTAGACATGTGTGATGATGTGATGTTATAAATTTTACTTACTTACTTACTTACTTATAATATTTCAGACAACACAGCGACCAATCTACATAGCTCTGTATGACTATGAAGCACGGAGTGATGATGACCTTCAGTTCCGTAAAGGAGAAAAGATGGAGGTACTTGACATGAGTGAGGGAGATTGGTGGCATGTTAAGTCGCTTCTCACTGGTAATCTGGGATTTGTTCCCAGTAACTATTTGGCAGATGCACGTGGTATTCACAGCGAAGAGTAAGTTTTCTCTTCCACTGGATGCTTATGTTTGATTCTGAAAGTTCTATTTGAATGATCTACAAATTGCCGATTTGAATCGCTTCAGTTTCTGCAGATTTATTTAACAAACTCATAACAGTATATTCCTTGAAATTTGCAGTTGGTACAGAGGTAACATCAAGCGAGCAGATGCAGAGCGTGAGCTGCTGTACAAAGGACAGAACTGTAACGGTCTCTTCCTGATAAGGGAAAGTGAGAGTAAACCTGGGGATTACAGTCTCAGTATCCGAGACGAGGACAGTGTCAAACATTACAGGATCAGGAGATGGGATGACGGACGGTTCTACATTGCCAAAAGGGTGTGTACTGTGTAATTGTGTTGATTATAATACACATAATACACATAATGTACACTTACTTCTTAATTAAGATTTCCGACTATTTTATTGTTCCTCAATATTTTCCTTAATATTGAAATTGTTGACAAATTTAGAAAATTGCATTGTTCAAAAACATGCTACAGAACATTGTCTGTCTGGATCATGTATATACTATCAATATATTAATATCTTGTATAGTATCAATATATTAATATCACGTACACTAACATGTAACAAAGCAGCAATAACACAATACTCCTCCCAGCAAACGTTCCCCACACTGAAGGCGCTGGTTGAGCACTACAAAGAGAACCAAGATGGGTTGGTGAGGAAGCTAGCCACACCCTGTACTCGTACTGAGAAACCATTCAATGACTTGTCCAGACAGGTCAGTGACAAGCAGTTTATACAGTAAAACCTCTGTACAGTTCAGTTTATAAGTTAGTAAAGTTAAGCAAGAGGAAAGAGGATATAGGTTTTAACCAGGGTACTTACTGTACTACTGTGAACACTTAGATTTGAACCAGTAATCAGCATCTCTAGTGATTATTAACCGTGCAGTAGTATAATAGGACCATTTGAGTAGTAAAGTGGGGCAATGTCATAAGTATAATGAATAATATCTTGAGCAATTAGTAGTGAGCAGTAACCGGATAAAGGAATAACTTGAAACCGGAAGTCATCCACAATATCACATACGACTGCTTAACATGAAACATCCTAACTATATTAAGACATTACGATTCTAATCTGTTTGCAGAATAGTAAGTTAGTGTGTACTACTGTGTACTGTGATAGGCCCGAGTAACTTGTCCTATCAAGACAGAGTAATTCCTGGTAACTTGTTAATTCCTGGTAACTTGTTAATACTGCAGTGTTACTTTGGAGAGTGGTTGGTTGTACACATGTCGCACACACCGTGTACTAATTGCTCACCACACACTGTACAGATGCCTGGAAATACGTGCTGTGCGGCTAATAGATTTGTTAGATTACAGTACATCACGTCACGATATAATAAGCAATTACCCTGCTAATTACTGTTCTAATTAGTTTCTAATTACGGTAACACAGACTGGACTGTTTGACGTTATTGACCTGTCAAATGAGTTGCGTATCTTCACTTTTAATATAATATATATAATATCTCTGTAATTAATGAATTATTGTGGATAATAATACGTTATATCTCAGGTGAGGGACCATTGGGAGATTGACAGAGCTCAGATTACCTTCACAGAGAAACTGGGAACTGGTCACTTCGCAACCGTACACAAAGGTAACATTCAGCTCCTTTATAAAACTCTCTTTTAGGGAAGATTTAGCTGTTTTTTAGCAGTTACTAACACACTAATTACAAGTTGTTAGGATCTGCAATAGGTGTTTACAGTAGAGTGGTGAATGTTTGGTGGAGACTGTTGGTTTCCTGCTACTGCTAGTGGAGAACTGTAAACTATTCAATATTACAGACTATCGTTATAATCCCATCCTCCGTAAAATACTCCTGTAAAATGTAACCCTCGCGAGTATTAGTTTGACTCTATTATATTGTGATAAAATATCAACTGATACGTACTAGTTGACTAGAAGATGTGGTATTATGCGGACCCACAAATATTTACTACAAGAATGTAGTTTCATGCTTTATTATTCCGGAGAAATAAAGAAAGATTTTCGTCAGAAATATTTTCCGCAATTATGACGAAGTTATGTTTCAAATCGGCTACTCGAATTCACCATGCACCAACAGCACCATATATTTGTATCAGACAATATTATCATTATATTTTAATGGAAGAGTGTTATGTAGTGACACATTTTGAGTGTAGTGACATATTCGGAGTGTAGTGACACATTCGGAGTGTAGTGACATTATATTCGGAGTGTAGTGACACATTCGGAGTGTAGTGACATTATATTCGGAGTGTAGTGACACATTCGGAGTGTAGTGACACATTCGGAGTGTAGTGACATATTGTTCGGAGTGTAGTGACATTATATTCGGATTGTAGTGACATATTGTTCGGAGTGTAATGACATTATATTCGGAGTGTAGTGACATTATATTCGTAGTGTAGTGACACATTCGGAGTGTAGTGACACATTCGGAGTGTAGTGACACATTCGGAGTGTAGTAACACATTCGGAGTGTCATACAGTTGTTAGTTGTCACACAAGTAGATGAGAAGTATTCCACTCTATACACTTTGACTCAGTACTCTAGGTCTGAGTGTATGTTTTTATCGTTGACAGGTGGCCCAAACCACAGCTGTTAAATCCACTGCAACCTTTACCTTGTGTAATGGTTATGTCACACCTCAGCTCTGAAAACCCCAATTTAAAGTCTATAATACCATTAAAGTCTGCCAAGTCGATAATGTGTACGGGTTGTAATAGTCCTGAGTCTGGGATCTGGCCACTTGTTAAGGGTCACAGAAACCAGAGCAGAAACTGAAGGTTTATCACAACTTTAATGGTGTTAAAAGTGGCACTGAGTGGCAGAGGGGGGTGTCGTGATGACCAGCCAATCTAATCATGTCTTGTTAGCTACTTGTTATACTACTAGAGTTACATGTTCCCACTACTCAATACAGCTACAAAATAGAGTGTTAGACCTACTACCCTGGAGAATGGAGATGCTATTGTGTACACACATTGCTGAAGAGAACACATCCCCTAAGGTCCTTAGGGCATTGTAAACTATCCATAGCATAGGGCCTAAGGATAACTTACAGTCATGCTATAGTCACTAGTCACACTAATGTCACTAGGAACAATTGTCACACTAGTTACTAGTCTGAGTCACACATTAACATTGGTACTCCAGGCGGCCACTTACAGAGTGCTTTGATGTGCTTCACAAGCATTTTATTTTTAATTCTTCAAATTCTCTGTTTGGCATCGAATACAGCTTGCTTTTGAAGTGAACATCATTATTAAAATTGAACTGAAATTGTCCAATATTTAATGACATGGGAATTAACATTCTGACCTACGAATCATAATACATGACGTAAGTAATAAGCTATTATTCTAGCAGCTTCTACATCTCTGTGTAAACGCATTAATATACCCACAAACAAACAGGCACGAGTTGCTTATTTGTCAGCCAATGACAGGCGGTAACGTTTTCTTACACTTGTATGTGTGAACGGTGTTGTTTTTATGCCCTACTTCCTTGAAGTGGTTCCAGCAGAGTAGTGACTAGAGACGGTGCTGTAAAATATTGATGACTCCCCCCCCCCCCCCCCCGGCCCCTGTTCTAGTAATATTGCACCTTAAAATAGAGACCACCTACCTATGTGACCTATCTTAGAGTGTGTTTCACAGGTCAACAAGTCACTATAACTAATCAACACGTGTGTGCAGGGAGGCTGCACTCTTCATATTATCCACAAAGTAAAACCGTGTGAGTTCTGTGTTATGTTCAGGGCGTTAAAGTAATAGCAGTCTGAGAGTCATGGTCAGTTGCTCGACTTCAAATACATCTGGTTGTTGTACTTCAGACTCAAGTTCCAAGCGTCTAGAATCTAGATCAACTCCACATGTATAGTGTCTATGATACAGACTCCAAATTGTGATGTACTAAGCTGGATTAACTTGCACAGGAACTGTAAACGCAACAAGTTGACATAGTCTCAATTAGGGTGGCTGGTTTTAGTAAGTTGTCTCCTCTCCGACTGGGTAACGCAACTTATTATTAGCATTTATCAACACCACTAATACTCTGGTCAATTATAATGCACATTACCATTGTCTACACATTGACAATGCCACTTACATTCCAACAAAGTGCCGCCAACATTCCAACAAAGTGCCGCCAACAGGCCAGCTAAATATCATCAATTTTGTATTTAATATAAATACTGTAATAAAAGTAATAACATTACTGCATACTAACACACATTATATCAAGATAATGCATGATATTTACAATATAATAATGATAATATTGCATCAACATTATAATGACCTGATAGTTTTGAACCTCAGGACTTTGGAAGGGAACAGTGCCGGTAGCGGTGAAAATGTTGAAGACTGGTGGAACCGACCAGAAGATGACAAAAGAAGAGTTTATTGAAGAGGCTAATGTGAGTTCAACCCAGACTGACAAATTACAAATTACAAATTACAGCTCAATTAGTGTGCTTGTGTAGATTACACTGTATTTTATAGTGTGGAACACTCACGACACACCATGTGCTGCGTCTAGAATATTACTATCCCTGTTTAGGGTTACCACTACTATATTTGGAGATACCACAAAAGAAATTGGTTGTACAGAGCACGTGTACTCTTTTAAATCTCATTTATAATGAAGTTGTTGATGTTTCTGAGCTGTTTCGTTCACATAGTATCACCACATCATCACTCCCTCATCACTCCCTCACTCCCTCATCACTCCCTCATCACTCCCTCACTCCCTCATCACTCCCTCACTCCCTCATCACTCCCTCTTACTCCCTCACTCCCTCATCACTCCCTCACTCCCTCACTCCCTCATCACTCCCTCACTCCCTCATCACTCCCTCTTACTCCCTCTGATCGGGGTTGGGCGTGCAGTTTCTGACACACTACAAGTGAGCGGTTGATGGCTGCTGCCGGTTTAGAATGTTTATTGTTGACGTGCACTGCTACGTATTATTACATCACTGCACGAGATATATTGAATATTAGCTGGCTTGTTAATGTCAAGGTGAGGATCTCCTAAAACTCAATCTCTACTTCTACATTAAATATCTAAATGATTAACTTGGATAAAACCTGTTTCTCATGCAAATGATAAGGATAGAATCAGAGAAGCCCAGTATAATTCCCGGGTATGTCACAACAGGACTCCACCAGTATATTCTACGAAAGTAGGGTCTGACAAAATTGCAATAATTTGTCTCGGACTAGTTTGTTTCAATAGTATGATATTACTATAGTTACACGCAGTGTCGTGGAGACCTCCTGGTTTGTAACAAGGTTCACTGGTAGTGTTAGTTAGCCCTAATTTGTCCTCATAATAGCCTGTCTCAAAGGTACTCTCGGTGGCCTTTGAGGGCAGAAGACAAAACCAAGTCCTACAACCGCTACAGTTTTCTTCTTTTCCTTTCTAACTTATCAGGCTGCGTTAACTGGGTGGTTTTTAGATCATAGCAGGTTCAACTTACTGACGAATTCGGTTAATCAAATTAAATATTGCACGCGTTGACAGATAATTTACTTATTTACGTTCTATTTACATGTTGTATCATTAAATCATGTGCCTCCTTAAATCAAGGATGATATCTGGTATCTCCTTATATAGGATATCATTTTGTTTGATCGAGGAGAATGAAAGCTGAGCTCACTACAAGATTTCCAGACAAACTTCACATGATCTGTGAATCATTATACAAACCTATACGTCATCACATCACAAAATAAACAGATCTGCGGATTCCTCCTATTTATAGCTATTGTGCACCTGAAACGGTAAAGCTCCGTGATTGTGTGAATATAGCAGGGTTGAACAGAAAAAGAGACAATAATGACAGACTCCATGATACTCTGTGACACATTTCAAATTACAAATTACAAATCGGATCTCATCTTCACCCCGGAAGGAGTATAACGACTTTTTCATCATGTGCAGATGCCATATTATTATTCCTTACATTCAAGTGCGATGTTCAATCAATATATTATCAAAATTATATCTTAATCGACTGTATTTGTGGCACATTTCACGTGTTATCATGACTTTTTATTCAATCTTAATTACCAATATAGACTGTAGAAATAAATAGTTTTAAAAGTGTATCTATTATTAGTGAGATCTATTTTTACCATTGAGATCTATTTTTACCATTCTCACACTACTCTCAAGGGATTTCTGTTGCACATTCTGGTAGAACATACCATGTAACATACCAGAACATACCATGTAACATACCAGAACATACCATGTAACATACCAGAACATACCATGTAACATACCAGAACATACCATGTAACATACCAGAACATACCATGTAACATACCAGAACATACCATGTAAGGGTGACTTCAGGTGAATTATTGGAGCCCTTATTAGCACAGGCCCTAAAGTTGGACTTAAACGTGTTCAATTAAACATACCTTGTCTGCATAGCAACACAAATACCCATTTTTAAAAACTTTCATTTACATGGAATACTTCAAACATGTTAAAACACATTCATAATGTTAAATATGTTAAAATTTGAATAATTAAATCTTTTTGAAGCGGAGTATAATATAACAACAAGTGTTTTCATAGAAAACACCTGTAATCTTATGTTAACGTTAAAATCGAATAATCAATATAAAAATCTCTAATTAATACGAAAAGTTTTCACAAAATGTCAAATAATAATCATTTCCTGTTAGTTATCTAAATAAACATTTAATTTAAATGCTAACTCGATCACAGTTTAGTCTTATACTGTACATGTAACGGGTATGACAGAGCACATGTCTCTTCTCTGGCTGATCTTCAGGGTAATCTCCAAGCCAACACTTATTACGAAAGTGATGAGCAAGCCACCAATGATGATCCACGAGCCCTGTCCATAGCCTAAATAGTCAATAACAAAGACTGTGATGGCAGCCCCAGCTGCCCCGGCAAACGTCACTATCGTGTAGAATACGGACGAGGCAGTGGACATGGTAGTTCTTCCAAACGACTTCTTCAACACAGTCACTTGAAGATCTTCAATCGCTTTAAAGCAAGCCATGGATCCCATCTGACACGCGCAACCTATAAAGAAGAGTGAAACAAAAGCCGTGTAAGGAACAGATTTATGCAGCAGTGACACTGCAGAACCTGGAAAGAGGAACCAGAGTCCAGTGATGCCCATAAGTGCTGACAAGCCCGTTATTTTAGATGATGTAAGCAAGTTTTTCTGTATCAAGAGCCCTGAGAAGGTGGAACCAAAAGCCATGGCCAGGTTCAGAGTCATGACATAGAACCCAGCTTGAGATATTGACAGTTTAAACACTTGTAGCAGGTAGGGCGCCACGATAGCCACCGTGTAACCGTAACTTGCATCTAGAAAGAAGTCTGCAATGACTGGGAATGCTGCATAAAGTGTTAAACTATCTATATCTTCATCTTCTGTTTCTAGGGGTTTTGTGGGAGGTCCTCTCTCCTTTTGTGTTATTAGACTCAGAGAACACGTACTGTCTTTCAGCACTGATAGATCAGCATCTGTGCAAGCAAATGAAGCAGAAATGGCATTGGCTTCCTTACATGATTTAGCTTCATTATATCCTTTCTCTATCGGAGTTATGAGACTCCATGTGCTTTCATCTCTCCCTTTTATCATAGCTGTATCTAATATATCTAATGTTATTATTGAGCCAGAAATTACCTCCATAGTTTCAACTCTGGAAATGAGACTCAATTTACGCTCGTGCTTTCCTTTTATCAGAGAATGATCGATAGCGACTGACTTCCTTGAGGAAGCTAGAGCTTCTATCTCTTTCCAATGTAAAGGCTCATTTTCTACTTCTTCGTATCCTCTGTTTAGGACAGATTCCTCTTTGCTAGGCAAAACAACCAGATTCAGTATGACAATGGAGCAGCAACACACTCCGATCAAAAGAAAGGGAATGGTGAAGTTGTTATAGTGATCATATGCATAACCTCCGAGGACGCTGCAAAATGCTGAGCCTACGTAATAGCCCCCATTAATAACCCCTAGTGCAAGCCTGAATTTTTCCTTGAACCATATCTTACAACCTTCAACATGAGTTCTACACCCGCCCAAGTTTGTTGCTCCTTGCATTAGACGAAAGATCAGCATCAGTGCCATTGCGGTTTTGTTGTCTGCAATCATTCCTGAGATACCGATTCCTGAAAAATGTAACATTTTTCTAAGCTGAACTTGATTTTATCAAAACAATCAATGTTCGCCATGATTTAAACTCTATAGCTTCAAGAGTCTCAGCTCAGAATGTACCTAATAAACAGCGAACTACTCCATCATTTGACATTCTCAGCTCCGGTTTCAATGTTTTAATATTAGAGATAAGGTTGTTATTTAATTACTGATCCGTGATAAAGAGTAAACACCAAAAGATTAAACAAATTACCTGCACAATTGATAGTCATCATCATATGAACAACTATGATCATGGTCTTGAGGTCTATTCCTAGCTTCTCCCTCAAATAGTTGTTCCAGTCGAAGAAGACACTGAAGAATGTACCCACCCCATAGAACAGTCCGTAAAGTCCTATTAACACTCCTGGTATTCCTGAAAGTGAAAGTGAAAGATAAAATGAAAGTGAAAGAGAACGATATATCATACATTCAGCAAGATATGATTATAGGAGATCATGGTAAATTCATGATTTTGTGGGATCATCAATCGAAAAGATTAAAATCATGGGCAGCATTTCATGGCGTAAGAAAGATAAACTGGGCATTAAAGTAAGTGAGAAATGCAAACTTTACCTTTCTCAAGTTATCTGAAAGCATGCGCTACATAAAATGAAGATGCGTTTTTAAAAACTTTGTGCCTTCACAATTTGGCGTTGCTTCGACAACGAAGCCCTGTTTTTAAAAACTTTACCTCTACATTTCATAGCCGTAATGTAGAAAGATGACGGGCCATATCCAGCTCCCATCAGTAGAATGGGCAGGAGGTAAAATGCGCTGAAAACAGCAAGAGCCCACGACTGGGTCCTACTGAGTGGTGCCTTCATAAGAGCGTGGGGGTGTTGCACTTAGAGTCGGGGGGCGTTGCACCTAGCGTCGGGGGGCGTTGCACCTAGCGTCGGTGGGCGTTGCACCTAAAAACTGATCGATCTAAATCTGCTATACTATTTATCATGACTAATGGAGTTGTGTTGCTGCGTGGGTTGTTTAAATATGTCGCCCTGCTGCGCTTTTCACACCTCAGAGTGTGCCTCATTAGCACCTGTGCAGTAGGATTGGCTTGTTAGTTACCTTGGGGCTATCTTTTGGCACAGATTTATTTGTTTTAGCCATCACGAGCTGTTTAAGCTTTTAAGGTAGGTGTGCCCCCAAAATATGATATCCAAACCCCCGTACTGCTGATATCATTTATATAATTGTGTCTTCAAATATAACACTGTTAACCTTGGATATCTCACAGTCCATACTGGTTGCTTTTGTTGGGGAGCTAATGCTGCCTGTTTTAAACACGTCAGCTTGGTCATTTACCCTTATATTAAGCCTATAACATGTACATTGTACATTGTACCTTGTACAAGGTATTTCATGTGATGTGGTGGACTTGACAAGTATTTTATCATTTAACCTACTGTGTAGTGCAGTGTGTACACATAGTAGTACTAAACTATACTATACTACTACTATAACTACTACTATTACTACTACTGTTTAGTGTGTACACATAGCAGTACTAAACTATACTATACTACTACTACTATAACTACTACTATTACTACTACTGTTTAGTGTGTACACATAGCAGTACTAAACTATACTATACTACTACTTACCTCTTCAATCTCCATATCAAGAAGTATAAACAGGTGGCACTCAGTGATAAAGGAAAAACCCCACTAACATTTTTCCTCAACAAAAACAGGTACAAGAAAATTAACATCACAGGTACTCACATCAGATGGCTAACATGGCTACTATCAGGACACAGCCCACTAGCATACTTCCAGACGGTAGCAAACAACTCCAATTTCGAAACACAAGACTGTGAACACTGCCCAGGGGAAGCAGAAACATCACAACACTTCCTATGTGAATGCATCCAGCTGATGACAACTAGAATGAGGATATTTGGTAAACCCATCCTAACAATTGAGGAACTCATCAATAGTAAACTCGACCACATTATCAAATTCGTGGAACAGTCAACAAGGTTTGACAGAGACGATCTATTTGGATAAGCATCTAGGACATACACCAAGGTTCATAAACAATCATACACTAGACCCACACAGGACCATCCCAGATAGTGACACATATTCAGGTGTGGACCATGCTCGGAAGTCCCTCGCCTGCCCGCCAAAGAAGAACATCTGAAGTGGGTTTGCTCTGAGCAAGGTAGTAACAGCTTCGAGACTCCAGAGGTCTGTTGCGTTGATATCTATTATTCTATGTTTTTGTATATACTTAGGGAGTCCTGGAGTGTGGCTAGCAGGAGTCACACTCTGTGGGCACGGCGAGAAGGCCTCCCTCTTCACTAGGAGGCCAGAAACCGTTGACCAAAACAGAGAGAGAGAGATACTACTACTACTATAACTACTACTATTACTACTGTTGTTTAGTGTGTACACATAGTAGTAGTACTATTATACTATACTACTACTACTATAACTACTACTATTACTACTACTGTGTAGTGTGTACACATAGTAGTAGTACTATTATACTATACTACTACTACTATAACTACTATTATTACTACTACTGTGTAGTGTGTACACATAGTAGCAGTACTATACTATACTACTACTACTACTATAACTACTACTATTACTACTACTGTGTAGTGTGTACACATAGTAGTAGTACTATACTATACTACTACTACTATAACTACTACTATTACTACTACTGTGTAGTGTGTACACATAGTAGTAGTACTATACTATACTACTACTACTATAACTACTACTATTACTACTACTGTTTAGTGTGTACACATAGTAGCAGTACTATACTAGTACTACTACTACTATAACTACTACTATTACTACTACTGTGTAGTGTGTACACATAGTAGTAGTACTATACTATACTACTACTACTATAACTACTACTATTACTACTACTGTGTAGTGTGTACACATAGTAGTACTATTATACTATACTACTACTACTATAACTACTACTATTACTACTACTGTTTAGTGTGTACACATAGTAGCAGTACTATACTATACTACTACTATAACTACTACTATTACTACTACTGTTTAGTGTGTACACATAGTAGTAGTACTATACTACTACTACTACTACTACTATAACTACTACTATAACTACTACTGTGTAGTGTGTACACATAGTAGTAGTACTAAACTATACTATACTACTACTACTATAACTACTACTATTACTACTACTGTTTAGTGTGTACACATAGTAGTAGTACTATACTATACTACTACTACTATAACTACTACTATTACTACTACTGTTTAGTGTGTACGTGCGTAGATCCAGTTTACTGTAGCTGTGTGACATCAAACATGGACTTTACTTACAATAATGATTATCTGATTACTACAATCACTTAAATAGTATTTATCTAAACATGGCACAAGCACTCGTACTGTAACAATAATAATCCAGAAGTTTCTACCACCTGCTAGCGGCAAAGCTAATGAGCACAGAATATAGACAGATCTATTGCCCTAAACAAATACACATGGTTTATTGTACTGTGCTGAATCCTGACAACAACACACACACACACGCGGTTGTCATGTATTTGAACGCAGCAGCGGCAGCAGTCGCTGCTATCTCATTATTGGCCGTGTAATATGTTCAAATGTACACATTTGGTGCAATTAGTGAGCTTCAGCTAACCATTGTACTAGTAGTGTAGTAGTGGTGTAGTAGTACTACAAGTTTAAAGGAGACAGTGGATTTGTGCTGTGTAATATACATACCAATAATGATCAGCCCAAGTGTTATGAGCTATAATAATGCTATGGTAACTCTATCTATTTAAGGGCTCTCCTGCCCATTGCCCCTGCCATTTCTGACAATCTAGAAATACGGTCAGCTAACTTTCGATCGGTTTAAAAGTTAAAACTGCACCAAATCCAGGAATAGCTTCACCGTAACCAATGCTTTAACAGTGTGATAAGATAATTAAGATAATTAATCAGTGTGATATTATTCAATTAAATGTGACAATTCTCTCCTCTCAGCGACTAAGCGTGGCAGTATCGAGATAGCCCGACCACTGGTCCGCGGACCACTGTCCGCGGACCACTGTCTGCGGACCACTGTCTACCAGATCATATTACTGTATAATAACAGTATCCCCTGAATCAAGCAACAGGTGTTTGTGAATAGTTGATATCTTGTAGTAGAATGATTTTTTGTAGTAGAATGTAGGATCCCATCGAGGACTGAAGATTCTCGGTGGACAAGCAAGACCTCCGGCATCAGAAGATGCTACAGGGTCATGAGCAGTGCATGATATACCAGCATGCCTCTTGTTGCAGAAAACGCAGAAGCTTGGGTTGGCTCTGGAGACGATGAGGGTTTTACCAGCTTGAGTCCACTTGTCGAGAGGTGAGATAGGGTCGCAGGGTAGGGCTGAGTTCATCCGTTTCGTTTTCTCTGAGACCATAGTTGTAGTTGTTCAAGAAGGAGTTGATGATAGAAATGATTGATGCAGTCTGATAATAGTTATTCTTTATATATTGCATGATGTGAACTGATCTCGTAAGGTTAATCGTTTAATAAGCCTTGACACCACCGCTGATTGGAATTCGCGTGCGATGATGTGAACCCTGCTTGATTCAGGGGATGATGTGAACCCTGCTTGATTCAGGGGATACTGTTATTATACAGTAATATGATCTGGTAGACAGTGGTCCGCGGACAGTGGTCCGCGGACCAGTGGTCGGGCTATCTCGATACTGCCCTAAGCGTTGTGTTGTAGAACATTCTATTGTCTATTCCACTAATAACGTATAATGTAATATAATATATTATATCTCCTTTAGTGGCCACCAACACAGCCGTTGTAATGTACTGTAATTCTGAAGTGTCTTTATTTGCCAGGCCGTTACTAACGGTTCCTTTCCACTGTCACTTTATTCTACAGGCTGGCATATTTCAAATATTTTTGATGTGCGTTACAATTGCTGTTACAATTTAAAGAAAACTTTAATAGCCATTCCCAACTTCCCAACCACTTTCTAATAGAAAATCAATGTAAAAAGTAAAATAATTAGATCATGAAGATAATTCCAGAGAAATCCTAAAATGAGGAGATAATCACAAATCAGGAATTATGATAAAGACTTACAATCCTGGTGGTGGTAGCACTGAACCGTGATGTAAAAGTATCTGTGTAAAGAGCGTGCGGTACAGGGTGTAAAGCGTGCGGTACAGGGTCTGTTGGGCTGGATCTGCGTTCCATCTACCACACGTCGCGTCATGATGGAGTAATCCGCTAAATGTGCAGAAATGGTCTACATAACCTGTAAACGACTCTAGTGGCAGTCACATACCACACTTGATGTGGCGTAGCGGAACAAAGATCGTTAGAAGTTACGAAAGAGTATTTACGGAATGTGTAGACATCGGAATTTGATTCTAATTTTCGAAAATTATTCGTTAGATAGCATTTCATCCATTCATCACTTTGTGTCATTTAAATTTTATCTCCGGTTTCACGTGATGGTGTGCATTGGTCGTCAAATTATCACGTTCACTCATCACTGCACTATCCGTTTCACTACCTGTTTCACTATCTATTTCACTATCTATTTAAATATCTCTTTAAATGTCACTATCTTTTTCATTAATATCCTCTTGTTTCAGGTAATGAAAGAGTTACGACACAACAAATTAGTACAACTATTTGCAGTATGCACAATGGAAGAACCCTTCCTCATCATCACTGAATACATGTGTAATGGCAGCTTGCACAATTACCTACAAAAGCCTGAAGGTAAGGAAGATTTTTTAAATTCTTTATACATTTATTTTATTGATATCTTTATTTTAATTATATTAGAAATTAAAGTATTTTATAATATTATGTAAAGCAGACGTGCAGTTAAATACTAAATGAATAAGTTATTGAGATTTATGTGGATAGTTCATTAAATCATTAGTTGGAATAAACTGTATACACACCTCTTAGTGTTTAGAGTGTATGTTGTTACGTAAAGTGCCTTCTATTATCCATGACAAACCCCCCACTTCTTGATCTATATGTGGAATGTAATAGTGTAAGTTAACTGCTATTGCTGTTTTGAGTACCTTAGATAGCTAATTAACTAAAAGTTTGGGGGATAAGAAGAGGCCCGTGCCCGGTATATCGAGGTACCCGGGTCCCTGTATAAGGAGGTTTGACTGTAGTGTAAATGAACTGCTATTGCTGTTTTGAGAACCTATAGATCTGGATAATACTGGTGGGGAGGTGATCAATCAAAACTTAGAACCACGGTCACGTGTCAAATAAATATAGTTCACCTCCTGCTCCCCGATAGATATTATAATATATTGTGTAAAGCACTTCCCTCAGAAAATTATAACATGTTACACAGTGCACAATATCCTAACGAAAATCAAATACACTCACAAAACATGGTGACCCTGCTCCTGTCAAAATGCCAACCCTCCGGCCCCTCCTTCCCTCCAGGGGTTTACTGTCCTTCCTTCTAGAAAACTGCGCATTATTTAGAAGCGGTATGTGGTCTCACATTCCTCAACTTGTTGTCCGTTAAAACTGGTCAGGTGAGTTTCTAGCCGGCACATACTGATCTTTCTCTTATACAGTGGGATTAGTGCCGCCATATTAGAACTTATAATAGCGGGGTAAATATAGCCTTTATTTTAGAACTACTGAGAGTCAATATGATGCAGAGAAGAAGTATGGGAAGCCGTATAAAAGTGTCTGTCCCATCCTGACAGAGTTAGGGCAGTTTCATGAGTATTGGCTGGTTCACTAATATTGGAGTATTATTATAGCGGGCCCTTATAATATTGAAGTGTTATATTGGAGTATGTGACTTGAGCCTCTAACACTGTGATATGATGAGAATGTACTAGAGTTTGTTTTCACTAGCAATAGGTGGACAGTCACGTGGTGATGAAGTGAAGTGGTAGTCAAGGTAACGCAGCTGCTTTCAAGCCATGAACATGTTAGAATCACGCCATCCTCCATAAACGGCTGTTCTGTTGACAAGAAATTAGCTTTAATTTGAATCACCAGGTTTATTTTTGTACCTCTTTCTTGGAACATGACACCGTGACACTCTCTTTCTAAGAATTGGATGGCTGAGCCTTTTTCTGCTGAAAACACCGAAAAGACAGAAAGAGTCCCTCCCATTTGTAATCCTGCAGTTTCTTGAGTAGTGGCGCTGATAGTGGCTAATTGTAGAGCACTTAGTGCTAATACTATCTCCTGATGAATACGCCAAGTTTGATACTATATGCGTACATGATAACATTATCCGGGACTCGTGTTTGACGTTGAGCCAGCTGTGTTGTAGAGGCCGTGTTGGCAAAGCTCCAGTTTCTATATTACTGAATATAAATACCAAGAGTAACTCATGTAATGTGATTTATTGTAAAGTTTGTATGATGTAAAGCTGCCAGCTGATGCTGTATTAAAATGACAGGTGACTGTCCGGACAGAAGTCGGACAGAAGACGTATAAGAAGTGCCTTCGTGTCCTTATCTCGTAAACATAGATATCTAGCTAGATTACAGTCAGCAAGATCCTTTGAACTGCAAACCCTTTATATGTTCGTCTGAAATCATATATTTAACGGTAAAATCATACCATTGAACTTTGCTAAGTACTTGTAAGGGACCTGGTTTTCTCTTTTCCAACATTAAACTGCCAAGAACCAGTTTAGAAAACTCGTGATGTTTCAAACGCGACAGTATTTTGAAATCTAAGATGGCTTTTACCAATCCTCCGAACGTTTTGATATTGGTACTTGGTCAGTATTTGAGAAAATCTTTCTTGAAAATTGGACATTCAGCGGTATTGTATTACGTATAAGAGGGCTGGCATGACAGTTTTTAAATTGTCTAGCTGATGACATGGTCCTACTAACACATACAGCGACACGATGATGTGTTGTTCAACTACCAATGACTAGGCTAGTCGCAAATCCAGCAGTTAATCCAGATTAATTATTAGAGAATTCCGGTATAATCGTAAGATCTTAAGGGAGCGGTATGTGAGATTATATTTACCGATATAATACTGATAACAATGTTTAACAAAACGAATTATCCACATAATTCGCATAACTTGATACGTAAGGTACACTAATAAAACCAACAACTCATTACTTAATGATATGTTTTATTAGATCACAATATTGAATTTAAACATTTGTTACAGGGAGACACCTAAGGCTGCCCCAATTAATACAGATGTCCGCGGAGATTGCTCAGGGTATGGCTTACATCGAGAAAATGAATTACATTCACCGAGATCTGGCAGCAAGGAATGTTTTGGTCGGCGAACATAACACTGTTAAGGTGAGAGGAATATTCTTGTTTTGTAGCTGAAATGTACTAAGATTGTTTTTTGTAGCAAATTATGAGATCTACACTTGGTTTAGAGCTTATTTGTTTTGACATGTGACCTGACGAAAGCCCTATACTAACTGTTCGCCTCTCAGTCTTTAAATTCAGAAGTTTTTCAATAAAAGTTCCAAATGTATTTCCTCCTAGTACACAGTCTAATCTAATGCTAATGGTTATACGGAAAATCTGATAAATGGATTGTTTGAGTAGAATTATAATCTAGATCCAAAGATGACGCTTCATGATTTCCTTGTTGTTTTACACAATAAGTTGTTCCTCTAATCACTTTTTCCAAGTCACGGCCGTTTTGTCTCATTAGAACATGTCTCGATTGTCCTTAATCCGTGTTGGTTTGTGGTTACGTCACTTGAAGCAACTTATAATGACGTGACGGAAACTCTATCACAAAAAACCATGCCGCGTCAAAAATTGTCTGAATTTGAGCGCGCGCGATTCTGTGCTGTGCATTATAAGTAAGCTGTGGTAAGCACTCAACGTATCGTCATTATTAAGAAGTTGTAGAATGGAGTATGGTATTGGTTTATTATTAAATTGTACTTTCTGTTTCAACTTGATCAGCTGCTGAAACCATATATTTTGTAAAACTCAAATCTCTTTCAATTTCAGATTTGTGACTTTGGTCTTGCAAGATTTGTGTACGGCCAAGATCAGCGAAACAGCGCCAACTTCAAGGAAGAAAAGCCCTTCCCAATAAAGTGGACGGCACCCGAGGCCATCCAGATGCCATACAACTTCTCCATCAAGTCAGATGTGTGGAGTTTCGGCATACTCTTGACAGAGATTATAACTTACGGCAAAACACCGTACCCAGGTTTGAACACTCAGTTACTACTTTATACATGTAGAAACTTCAAATAGTGAACAATAAAACTTGAACGTGTAGAATTCTTAACAAAGCGTTGGAATTTGAATAAATCATCAGATTTATTCAATTGTTCTGCAGAAAACAAGATTACAAAAGCTGTTATTTTAAAAGCATTCTTTAGTCGCATCCAGGCTGGCCGCTGTATTGATGCAGTGTATTACCGCATATTATCTGTTTTTGCATGTGAAACAAATACGGGCCTTGCTTTTTAACATGTAAACATTCAATACTTATCATGAGCCTGCTTCTAAAAAGAACAAATCTCAGGAATGTCAAACCACGAAGTGACCACAGCTATAACTAAGAACCGATACAGAATGAAGAAACCACCTATGTGCCCGGAGGAACTGTATATCATTATGAGAGATTGTTGGAAAGAGAATCCACAGGTTTTATAATGCCGTCAAATTTATTTGCAATTTTCCATAGCTTATTCCCAAAGCCCCTATAAGTCAATTGCGACAGTGTCTAGATGCCTGAATACCATTTAAGTCAATGTAACGAACTTGTGTCCACCCTGTAAACCCTATTATATGGAATCTTCTCGACCCGAACCAGTCTGGGATTCTAAAATATTATATATTTCAGGACCGACCCACGTTTGAATCACTTTGTTGGAGATTAGAAGAGTACTTCAACTTGTCCGGTTCAGAATATAGAGATATACAGACACCGCGGGTAGGTTATTTTACTTTCTTACTTTATAATGTTATTTTAATATGTTACTTAATTACTTAATTTATAGCGTTATTTTAATATGTTACTTAATTAATTAATTTATAATGTTATTTTAATAATATGTTACTTAATTACTTCTGGCTAATCTGTTTGTTTATTAGCTTCAAGAATATTCGTTCAAAGAAATTTGTTCTTAAACCTTATGCTTGTTGTATGAGTTATCGTTATTATAATCTGAGTGCGTATATCATAACATTAAAATTTCAGTGAATACCGGTGAATATAAAGATACATGAGATGATGATAACTAGCCCACCTTCTCTTTCTGCTACCTTCTATGTGATTCATCATTACCCAGCTACATCCTTAATATATCGCCGTTAAAGAGTCAGTGTTTATCTGTGCGTGCTGGACTAGGAGTTGAGATAATATGGGGAATATGAAAATATTGTCCCTGATTTTAACAAGCTCCTCGTGTCGATCTCCACTCAAAGACCCTCGAGACTGGACTCGGTTGGGTGTGATTTGATGTTCTATCAATTTGCAATCTTCGTGAGACCCTTGCAGTATCTAACCAGGTCGAACTTTTAAACTTCAAGATTACCTACTACCTAGGCAAGCTTGCTTTAATCACGAAATGTGTTTACTACCCAATATGCGCTAAGATTTATATTTGAGTGGAGCGCAACTTCAACGTTCATCTCACATCGTTCAGCAGTTTTGAGCATCTAATTTTTAATCCATGAAGAACCTTATTCCTAAACATTGTCCTTACCCGAACTCTATTTGCTTGCCCTGACCCCAATCATAAGCCATAAACTTGGTATCACGTACCCAAACCCTAAAACCCCCTATTTTATTCAGTGACCAAACTGTAGAATTTAAAAGAGCTTAGAGTTATTTCGTAATCAAGTGTAATTCAATAAAAGATTTCCAACAGACATTATTTTTCTGTCACAGGATTATAACAGTCTCATAACATAGTTTTCTACCAACAATAAATTCGATCTTAAGAGCCAGAAGGAAGTGGCTATGGGTGTTCAGATTCGTTTAAAATGATTGTTATGCTGTGCATGTCTACCAAAAACTTAAAGAACTTTAGAAAATGCTTTTATTTATATTTTATCTGATAAAAGATTTATTGCTGCGCTTGATATAATATGTTAACTTTCGTTGTATCATCGACACAGTTCTTTAGGCTGTGTTAACAATTAACAGTACGGCGCCTCAACCGAGCAGTTTATTTGCATATGATGTATTTCTTCGTTCAATTACTAGGCAGACAGGTTTATTCGGAAGATTTTGATTCTTTGAACATTTGTTGCATAGTTTAATAAGTCCTCAACTTTTCTACAAACGGTTGATTTTTTGTTAAATTGTAGGATTTTGTGGGTTTATAAAAACTTGATATACTCAATTTAACCAACCGTAAAAAGTCACAGCACTTAAATGTTTTGATCTACTTTGAGCTAAGGGAGAGAATAATGACTAAAACATAGCTAATCAAGAAAATTTGTATTATATCGTTTTACATTGGTAGGTAAAATTGTTACCGTATTAAAGTAAAGTACTGCTACAGCTGAGATCACGAATTTCCTTGATGTAACATACTGAATAATGACACAACGTTGGTAGTTTAAATCTTAAATTATAACATGACACAGTTTATAGTTAAGTTACAAATATTTGGCACAATGCGCCAGACAATATCAAGTATTTCTATTCTCAATCTGAGATTTTTGCCAAGATTTCTAGGAGTTGAGCCACCATTAAATTTAGTGGCTACCCCTCCAATTTAACATCCTAATTCGCTCTTATTCGTATTAATGATGGACCTTGTAGTACGAGGGTTTGAGGATGTTAATAAATTCAGATTTCACTTTTATATTTTACTTAATAGTCTTAACCGGACATTTAAATGCTATTTATAAGAAGTTAGGATATTAAGGGATTATTTACATACTAAGCAGCAGCCGAGGGGAGGGTTTGGAAATAATTACATGAATAGATGAATTTTCTACACAGTAGCTGTGTGTAAATGTAATAGTGATCGTGATGGGGGAGAGCCGAGATCATAATATCTTAGCCATATTTGAACATCCCTCTCGAGAGGGATGTTCAAATATGGCTAAGATATTATGTGGACGATCCCTTAGCTTAGGTCCTTAGAGATATTGGTTACCTTTCACAACGTTATAAGGCGGGTGTAGTAGTTGATTTTAACAATGTCGTTATTTGTTAGCTAAAGATTTTCATATCAGCTGTCCTGCTACTCACGTGCTGTGCTAAAGTGACGGTCTAGTATGAGTGTAAGAATTATCCAAAATTCAGGTGGCGTTTCTAAGAGAATGGCAAAACAAGCCTCATTAATTTCAAAATGTCTATATTTTTAATAATTTTATTATTTATTGCCACGAGAGAAATATTTACGGCAATAGTCATCAGTATTCAAATTTGTCTGTTCTTTTAACAGTTCAATCTCCTGTTAATATCAAACTCGTTTTTGAAATCATTAGTATTTGGTCATACCTTCATTTTAAAAACACTGATACACAGTACATATTATGACACTGTAGATGAAAAGTGTGGTTATACTTATAATCACAAATATTGTTATACTTCATACGGATTTGATTTCAATGTTATGAGAGTTGTTTTTCTGAGTATAACTCATGCCACATTTAAAGACGCAGCCAAATATTGCCCGTCTTGGCGCGCGCAAAACGTATCCCTCCTGGGCCTCGAACGGTCCGGCCCCGGAGTTAAGGTCGCAACGTGAGACAAGACAAAGCCGAATCTTGGTGATTAATTGACATACGTTGCATGCCACTTTTCGCGCGCCGCCGAAGGCGGAATATCTCTGATATTTGTGATACGTAACATGTATCAAGTGATTAATCACTCCACACTCGAAACCCTAGCGTAACCTAATCCTAGTTCATAGTTGAAGCATTTTATCCTTAGTCATTAGCACGCTCGTCGCTCAATCATTGTCATACGTTGTATGACCTGCCTGTAGCGTCGAAGACGCTACAGTGAAGCGACCGTGGGGGTCACCACGTGATACAACTCAATCAGTAATGCGAACCCTAGTGCCGAGGCGAGGAGAAGAGACAAAGTTTTCTAAATTGTCCTCAGCTCTAGCATCTAGAGCTGCGCAAATGTACTATTTTTATTTCTGTTTCTAAACCGCGTGGTATGGTCCTATTTTTAGCTCAAATTAACTGCATGTGGAATGTTTACACACCATACACACTGTCTCACATCGTGATCCTCATCGTCATTTCGCCCTACCGCGTGGCAAAAGCCACGACATGCTCGTGCGCGGCGGGCCCACATCATATTACTGGGCCGCGCTCAGCCTGTCATTCCGCCGAATCTTTATTGTTTATGAACATGATAGCCTGAGGTCCCCAGGTAAACATCATATTGTAGGTTTATAACCTACCAAGACGCGCGCGCGCCGAGGCTGAATTTTTCAGTTCAAAAATAATTTTTGAGGCATGTTTTAAAATTCCCGGCAAAAATGGTCATATTCAAAAATACCCATGAACCCCCCCCCCCCCCCCCCCCCCCCCCGATTAACCCCCTGTGAAGACGCAATTACCTCAAGTAACACGCCCAGCCGGTAAGGTTTGCTTTGGGGTGCACAATGTAAAGCGCTTGTTTCCAAAGCTAACTTTAGACTTGGACTACTTAAGAAACTACTTTTGTCTTTTCTCAAAAAAAATTGTCTTTTCTCAACATGTTATTTCACTACTGATGAAAGGCAGAAAAGATTGTTCTATTTAGCGTTAATTAGGTCTATATTTGAACATTGTTCTGTCATATGGTCCCCTCAATCTGCAACTCATCTTCAACAGTTTGTTGTTATCCAAAAGAGGGCTATTAAATGGATCAATGGTGAAACCTACTCCAGCTATAATGACGATAAACTTGCTACAGAGCAAAAGAAACTAAATATTCTCCCTGTCTTGCAGAAGCTTATTTATAACGATCTTATGACCTTCTATAAAATAATGATTAGCATAATCCCAGTTTCGCTTCCTACTTATATTATATATAGTCCTATGCCGTCCAGAGGGCACCCGATACCAGTGGCGTAACGTTGCCTGTTGGCGCCCCCTGCCAAAAAGGCGCCCCCCTGTTGGCGCCCCCTCCCCTTTTGGTGCCCCTCCCTAAAATTGAACAAATTAGGTGATTTTAGAGGATACGCCGGTAAAATCTCTAAAAAAGTGTGCATCTAGAGTAAAACGCGCATTTTTGCTAGTACTTTAGTTAAGTTTTCGAAATTGTCCCACATTCAAACGAAGATTTGGCGCCCCCATAAGACGGCGCCCCCCTGCACAGCGGGGTCAGCAGGGCCCTTCGTTACGCCACTGCCCGATACACTAGGCACAATGTTCAAATAATTGCTAGGTCGGATACTTCAACTTATATGAGTACCACTGACAGTGGTCCACTGTGCCTTGATCGGATGCCTTCCGAAATAGCTTCTTTCGTAGATCTATGCTGAAATGGAATAGTCTACCAGTATGTATCCGGCAGTCAGAGCGGATTTCTACTTTTAAGACCAAACTGATCAAGTACCTCTGGGCTGCCGATATAGTCTGGCCAGACTAGCTCATCAGTCTTATGAGTCTCAGAAATGTGTTTTTGTTGGTTACAATTCTGTCCGTCCAATTTCCTATCCGCTTGTCCTCTTCTTTTTACTTCTATCAGTTGTGACGGAATTGTAATGAACAAAATCCATATAATTATTTATGATATGTTTGATTTCTTGTTATTGTATGTCATTCAAATTTGGTAGACGGCCCCAACGTTAATTTGGCTCTTGCTATGTGTTGGTTCAGCCGAATTAATTATTATGTAATCAAGTTTATTTTCTCTTTTAGTTAGTTGTCATCCGGTCAAACATTAAGAAACTTATATTGCAGTACCATTTATCAATTAGTATATCAAAATATGTCATTGTAATTTTGCATGGCTGAAATGTAACGCTTGATTTATATATAATATGATAATTAATTGAATTTTCAAATTAAAAAAAAAGTGATCATAATCCAATTGAAGTTTGACATAACATCACTTGGCCACGGCTATATAGTATTTATTATGATTATTTTTAATTTTATAATGACACAAAAATCAACTTGAATGAATTTGTCTAATAACACATTCTCTAGAAGCAGCTATGGGAGAGGAAACAAAGTGTTGTATTTGTCTTGATGTCAGTGAGAATCTCCTCATTATGCCATGCTGCGGCACTGAAACATCGACAGTAAAATATTGTGGTGGTTGCATCAAGCTAATGTGTGATGCAGATGACACACAAAAAGATACAGTTGGTGTATGTCCTATCTGTAAGAAATCGTTTGAAATGGAATTCAAGGTTACTGCTCTTAAAAAGTTTGAAGTAAGAGGACAATGTGTTATGTGTTGTCAAGAAAACAAGGTTATTGTTTCACCTGATTCATTGTGTGAGATTTGCCTTCTTGGGAAAGCTTATCCCTACAAATACACATGCGACCGCTGTGGAAAAACCCAGGTCATTCCTCATCCAATGTGGAGGTACCAAATTTCGCCTGACGAATTTGGGAGTGCAACTTGGGCCTGTCACCAAAAATGTGGTGATTACACCCATTGGAAGATTGTCCAAGAAGAAATTGCTAAAATCCCTGCTGCCTTATTGCCTGATACTTGGAGACCAGTTTACACTGATGCAGAAAGTGCACTTGCAGAAGTTAGAGAAATGATACGTAAAAACTGATTTCTTTGTAATATTATAGTGCATCCTTAGATAAATGAACAACATTAGTTTGGACAAGCTGTTCCCAGCAACAAAATCGACTGTGTTCTTTATGCATATTACATTTCTCTACACCAATGACACTTCAAGTGGCTCTAAGTTTTGATCGTCTAAGTGCACCAGTTGGGCATCACTACTATCCTGTGAAGGACCTTTTTGAAATTTTACTCTTTAAATTTGATCTTGCATTTCCACAGACTGCTTAGACGGCTAAACTTACTGTGCATTGCATCAATATACTATACTCGGCTGGACTTATTGTCATTGACAAAAGCATATTTTGATATATCAAATTATTATAATAATTGTTGTATGGTAAATGCAAAATAAGTGAAAGTTTAAAATCAAAATATATCATAATTAAATTTTTTTATTTACCAAAGTTCTAATATGATGGACGTTTTCAGTAAGCTTTAATTTTTTGCTGTATTGTAAAATATGTAAAATTTGTGAAAGTTTCAAATCAAATCATATGTTTGTAAAAATTTGAAGATGAATATTTTTCAGTAAGTTTACATTTTTTGTAAGTTTTAAAATTGTATAGTTATTTTGTCTCAAGTTTTCAAATTCTATTTTTTAACAGTTTTGACACGTCTTTTTGTTTTAATGCAACGATTTTTGTTTCAATGCATGATTTATTCAATTTAAGGTAATACTAAAGGTAACTTGTAGTATGAGGTATGACTTTAATCTCATCTAAGATTAATTGCTGGATAAGAATTGAATATTTTGTTTTAATTTCAAGACGTATACTAGCAGTTTAAATCAGTGTATATTTTTCAGTTGTTCTCTGTGCTTATATATCTATCGCTATCAAAGATAGCGATAGATACGTATTGACAATTTTATGAATAAAAAAGACAATTTTTGGAATTTATTTCAATGTATGACATTATTATATAGTGTATTCTCTACTATTAGATTCTCCAATTTAAAAAGTTACATCCTGATTCTTTGATTCCATTGCATGCTGTATAAAATATGATTCATAGGTATGAGTTAATCGAGATTTTGTTCATTCTTGTGAATGAAAATAATTGAATAATAACTAGTTAGCTATATTAGAACCGGTTAGCTAACAAACATACATAATATTATAATAGTGTTATCATGTGCAAGTATGTCTGAATTTCAAATCGTTAAATCCCAAATTTTGTTTATCAAGAGCATGATGCAAAGGTTTTTTGGGTGGCACAATCTAAGTTCGGTCCTGGTGTAGTATTCAACATTTCAGCAAAGATCTTGTATCCTTCAACTCTGTGTATTGTTTTATCCATAGGTGTCTTTCCACATTCAACCCCTGTAAAATGTTGGTATGATTATTTTTACTTGTAGAAACATAGTAAAGACCTAATTACTGCTAACTCAGCTTTAATTTCACTTTGACGAACAAATTTTCAACAGAGTCTCTACAGTATATAACTGGTAATATTAAGCCTAAAATTTTTGTGATGGGATGGTAGCAGGTTGATGATTTTATTTTAAGCTTCTGATTGGAAAATGCTCTGACCCCATAGGCCAATTCAAGAACAATAGTTGTAGTTTAATAACAATTAACCTCCATTGATTATGTTGATAGTCGCTCCAAATCCTACATCTCGTCCACATTCCGTGTCACCATCAGTAGGTTTCCAGTTTTCAGTTATTGCATCGTGACATGATGGTTTGGGTTCCTGTTATGGTTTCTGTGTTATCACTAGCTGAAATTCTATCTGCGTGTTCAGTGTAAAGACAAACTACCACCTAATAAGAACAGCAAAAATGTAGGTAAAGAATTAAACTTTGAATAATATTCAAGAGTTTTTGCTTACAGATATCATGCTTTATTCGTGCTATTCAAAGATGTTGGTGTTTGTTACTGTACCTGTGGTGTCATCCAAAACCAAAGAGCTGTTTGGAATGCAAGTTTTCCTTCTTGTGCCACTCTCTGTGGGTTTTTTAGGAGCACCATATTGTCCCCGAACAGTTGCTTACTTACAAAACCATAGTTGTAATTCCATGACAATTGCATTGGTCCTGGACGAAGGAAATCAGTTTAATAGTGTTATTAATATACAGCAACCTGTAAAAGTGTAAATATCAGGGCCAAAGTTTAGCTGGTTGAAACAATGGGTGGTCCGACTAACAGAAAATGAAACAGCTGAATCTAATTTCAAGATATGTCATATGTTGATCTACTGACCTCTGCCATGGTAACTTTTACCAGGCTGACAAGGATCATCGGAATTGTTGGCATCACAGTAAGCTACTTCCCCATTGTCACTCCTTCCAACCTTTCAAATAATATAAATTGAAATGTGTGGGTAAAAAATTGTCTTAATTAGATGTTAGTAAATTAGATCACTATCTAGAATATTAAAATACGTGTACGGTGGTGATCGCCAAACTGATTCAGTTAGTATAAAGCTCCAGTAACGAAAATACTGTAGAGCTCAATACACTGGATTGTTACGATTAATGTAACAAGCTGAGGGGATAATAACCTCTTGCAGAAAGTAGAGGCCCCAAGCATATCTGCCGTCCGGGGCTGTATCCCAACCCCCAGTTGTCTCTTGTGCTATGTTTGCCAGGAATGCTGCTATCTCCCGTCTGTTTATTTCATCTGAGCCGTCGTTAGCAAAGAGAGGATAGCCCTTGGCTGCTTCCAGCAGGTGTTCGTATTCATACAACTTGAACTCAGCCTCCCCCTTTTCGTTTCTGTACGGAAAGAGTTCCTCAAAATCCTCCTTAGTGAAGTATTTCTCCAAACCTCCGTTATCTTCGATACCTGAGATAACATCTTTTTTTAAGCAAAACCAACTTACAAACAGTTGCTCATGGTTTCGCTTCATTATTATTTTTATTTCCTTACTTACAGTAATTGGTATAAGTTACTTAAATATTCATTTTGATAACGCAAGCAAAATCTCGGTTATAATAGGGAGTGAATATAATGTCGGCTAACGCAGCATGGGGATCCATTATTAAGCTAAGGTAAGGTGTTACAGGTGAACTTAATTAAAATGATTATTGTATTTTGTTTTATTATCATAACTTACATTCGGGAAGCTCTCCCCAATCATTCTTCTGGCACGTAAGAACACTATTTCCCGAAATTCTGAACCTGTAACAAAATTATATTTATACTCTAAAGAATACACTGTAAAATCCAGTTTGTTTTTATTTATCAATTAGTGCTTAAAGTTCAATTAATGTGTGTGATACTGTACAAGTTTTTGCTCACCCATTCTTGCAACTTATCGTAGCTGTCGTTCCTTCTGTAACCTGTTTGATCTTTTTCACACTGAACGTCACCTTCTTCACTGCGTTTTTCACCTTCTTAACCTTTTTCTCCAGAGCTTTAGCACTCTTCTTGTTGCACTTCTCCAAATCTCCGTTATCTTCGATACCTGAGATAAAATCTTTAAACTCACAAACAGTTGCTCATGGTTTCGCTTCATTATTATTTTTATTTCCTTACTTACAGTAATTGGTATAAGTTACTAAAATATTCATTTGATAACGGGAGCAAAATCTCGGTTATGATAGGGGAGTGAATAATATAATGTCGACTAACGCGGCATGGGGATCCATTATAAAGCTAAGGTAAGGTGTTACAGGTGAACTTAATTAAAGTGATAATTGTATTTTGTTTTATTATCATATCTTACATTCGGGAAGCTCTCTCCAATCATTCTTCTGGCACGTAAGAACACTATTTCCCGAAATTCTGAACCTGTAACAAAATTATATTTATACTCTAAAGAATACACTGTAAAATCCAGTTTGTTTTTATTTATCAATTAGTGCTTAAAAATCAATTAAGGTGTGTGATACTGTACAAGTTTTTGCTCACCCATTCTTGCAACTTATCGTAGCTGTCGTTCCTTCTGTAACCTGTTTGATCTTTTTCACACTGAACGTCACCTTCTTCACTGCGTTTTTCACCTTCTTAACCTTTTTCTCCAGAGCTTTAGCACTCTTCTTGTTGCACTTCTCCAAATCTCCGTTATCTTCGATACCTGAGATAAAATATTTAAACTCACAAACAGTTGCTCATGATGGTTTTGCTTCATTATTATTTGTATTTCCTTACTTACAGTAATTGGTATAAGTTACTAAAATATTCATTTTGATAACGCAAGCAAAATCTCGGTTATAATAGGGAGTGAATATAATGTCGGCTAACGCAGCATGGGGATCCATTATTAAGCTAAGGTAAGGTGTTACAGGTGAACTTAATTAAAATGATTATTGTATTTTGTTTTATTATCATAACTTACATTCGGGAAGCTCTCCCCAATCATTCTTCTGGCACGTAAGAACACTATTTCCCGAAATTCTGAACCTGTAACAAAATTATATTTATACTCTAAAGAATACACTGTAAAATCCAGTTTGTTTTTATTTATCAATTAGTGCTTAAAAATCAATTAATGTGTGTGATACTGTACAAGTTTTTGCTCACCCATTCTTGCAACTTATCGTAGCTGTCGTTCCTTCTGTAACCTGTTTGATCTTTTTCGCACTGAACTTCACCTTCTTCTCTGCGTTTTTCACCTTCTTAACCTTTTTCTTCAGAGCTTTAGCACTCTTCTGGTTGCACTCTGAAGAAAGGAACTTTTATCGGTCAGTAGATATAATATGACATATTTTAAATCATATAACGTACAGTATAGATAGCAATAATATCTTTTCTTGCTCATACTAACATAGAACATACTAATTAACTCCAGCAGATAATCTTAAATAAAACAAATTACTTGATTTATTGTCTTCATCCTCATTTTCATCATCACTTTCATCCTCATTTTCATCGTCATTTTCATCGTCATTTTCATCGTCATTCTCATCGTCATTTTCATCGTCATTTTCATCGTCATTTTCATCGTCATTTTCATCATCATTTTCATCACTGTTGTCATCATTTTCTGATGGAGAGAGATATGTTCGCATTGCAGTCAGGAAAGGGTTTTTTCCATCTCCGCACAGGTCTTTGAAATCATCCATTGAAGTATCCCAAACCATTCCACCTGCTAGCCCCATGTCTTTGATGTACTGCATCTGCAAAAGTTAGACTGTATAAAAACTGATAAACAATTACTGGCATCTGACCTATCTGAATTTTGATTTAAAAACAATAATATTACCTTTATTTTAACTGTTTCAAGATCATCAAATCCAACCCACTGGTCCCCCATGTAGGCGTGAGGACCAACAATGCATTCATCACCCTTAACTTTAGTCCAGCCCTTGTCCTTGATGTTCAGGCAGATCTCATGATATCCCATATAACCTGCTTGCTTTGTCCACTTACCTAAAAGTAGAGTTCACATAATATTATGAAGGTAGATAATTAAAAGTTATCATGGATTAGTTTCAGTGCCTACATGGCTACTCTATAAGTCTATTTATATTAGCATCGTTACCTTCAACCCCGGCTCCACTTGAATCAGCTCCGATGCCATTATTTGCAGAGTTTGTTAGAGTAAAAGACCGACCATAAATGCCTAGTCCCATCTGGATCTTGTTGGCTGGAAAGCCTTTAGCAATCCAGTGTTTAACAGCAGTGTCCGTGTTGAGTTTGTCAGCATTGCAACCTAAGAGAGGAGAATTGTGTCCTGTGACAGTCTCCCAAGAGCCATGGAAATCGTAAGACATGAGGTTAAGATAGTCAAGGTACTGAGCCAGAACTGGAACATCGTAGCCAGCATCAATAACAGCCTGACTGGCAGAAACAGCAGCAGTTACCAGCATATTGTGAGGAGCAAACAGCTCCTTCAACTCCTTTACCCAGATTCCAAAGTTGGTCTTGTCTGATGGATCTGGGTTGGGTAGATTGTGTTATTAATGGCAGTATAACTACAAAATATATCACTTTACTCTATTGATTTATAGAAGGAGTAGGTACTGTTTATGTATCGGTATGTCCTAAGTTGTTGTTATATTTTATACCTGATTCATCACAATTAGCCTGCCAACAGGCGGGATACTCCCAATCCAGGTCCAGTCCATCAAACTTCCACTTTTGAAGAATTTCCAGAACATCAGAATTGAATGCCGCCCTGAAATTTGTTGGTGATTAATTGTACATTTATTATACATTTTTAGGTCAAGGAATGGTCCTTAGATAAAGATGTGCATTCATATAATCTTAACAGGAGTTAGAAAGTAAAGAGACTTGTATCTTAAGATCAGATAATATATCTAAACTCTACCTCAGCTGAGGGGACTTGGCTAGATCCGAATACTTGGAGCCTTCGCTGTCATTCCAGCCGCCAATAGCCAAGAGAACCTTTCTGACCCTGGATCCTGCAGCATTCTTTAAATCAACAATCTTTTTAAAGAACTCTCCTCCACCCACATCAGTGTCTGCCCAAGGATCATGGACCTTGATCTTGTTGTTGTCCAAGACAGCGAATGCGTAGTTTATAATGGTACAGAGTGTTGGGTCTACATTATCTGCTGAGTATTTACCGTTCCCCTCACGGTACCAGGCCCAGTTAATAAAGTAGCACACAACGTCTTTATCTCCATAGTTTTCCGAGGATTCATCATCGTTGTTTTCGTCATTTTTATCGTCATTTTCATCGTCATTTTCATCGTCATTTTCATCGTCATTTTCATCTTCATTTTCATCATCACTTTCATCACTGTTGTCATCATTTTCTGATGGAGAGAGATATGTTCGCATTGCAGTCAGGAAAGGGTTTTTTCCATCTCCGCACAGGTCTTTGAAATCATCCATTGAAGTATCCCAAACCATTCCACCTGCTAGCCCCATGTCTTTGATGTACTGCATCTGCAAAAGTTAGACTGTATAAAAACTGATAAACAATTACTGGCATCTGACCTATCTGAATTTTGATTTAAAAACAATAATATTACCTTTATTTTAACTGTTTCAAGATCATCAAATCCAACCCACTGGTCCCCCATGTAGGCGTGAGGACCAACAATGCATTCATCACCCTTAACTTTAGTCCAGCCCTTGTCCTTGATGTTCAGGCAGATCTCATGATATCCCATATAACCTGCTTGTTTTGTCCACTTACCTAAAAGTAGAGTTCACATAATATTATGAAGGTAGATAATTAAAAGTTATCATGGATTAGTTTCAGTGCCTACATGGCTACTCTATAAGTCTATTTATATTAGCATCGTTACCTTCAACACCGGCTCCACTTGAATCAGCTCCGATCCCATTATTTGCAGAATTGGTTAGAGTAAAAGACCGACCATAAATGCCTAGTCCCATCTGGATCTTGTTGGCTGGAAAGCCTTTAGCAATCCAGTGTTTAACAGCAGTGTCCGTGTTGAGTTTGTCAGCATTGCAACCTAAGAGAGGAGAATTGTGTCCTGTGACAGTCTCCCAAGAGCCATGGAAATCGTAAGACATGAGGTTAAGATAGTCAAGGTACTGAGCCAGAACTGGAACATCGTAGCCAGCATCAATAACAGCCTGACTGGCAGAAACAGCAGCAGTTACCAGCATATTGTGAGGAGCAAACAGCTCCTTCAACTCCTTTACCCAGATTCCAAAGTTGGTCTTGTCTGATGGATCTGGGTTGGGTAGATTGTGTTATTAATGGCAGTATAACTACAAAATATATCACTTTACTCTATTGATTTATAGAAGGAGTACTGTATCGGTATGTCCTAAGTTGTTGTTATATTTTATACCTGATTCATTACAATTAGCCTGCCAACAGGCGGGATACTCCCAATCCAGGTCCAGTCCATCAAACTTCCACTTGTGAAGAATTTCCAGAACATCAGAATTGAATGCCGCCCTGAAATTTGTTGGTGATTAATTGTACATTTATTATACATTTTTAGGTCAAGGAATGATCCTTAGATAAAGATGTGCATTCATATAATCTTAACAGGATTTAGAAAGTAAAGAGACTTGTATCTTAAGATCAGATAATATATCTAAACTCTACCTAAGCTGAGGGGATTTGGCTAGATCCGAATACTTGGAGCCTTCGCTGTCATTCCAGCCGCCAATAGCCAAGAGAACCTTTCTGACCCTGGATCCTGCAGCATTCTTTAAATCAACAATCTTTTTAAAGAACTCTCCTCCACCCACATCAGTGTCTGCCCAAGGATCATGGACCTTGATCTTGTTGTTGTCCAAGACAGCGAATGCGTAGTTTATAATGGTACAGAGTGTTGGGTCTACATTATCTGCTGAGTATTTACCGTTCCCCTCACGGTACCAGGCCCAGTTAATAAAGTAGCACACAACGTCCTTATCTCCATAGTTTTCCGAGGATTCATCATCGTTGTTTTCGTCATTTTCATCGTCATTTTCATCGTCATTTTCATCGTCATTTTCATCACCATCTTCATCATCATTTTCATCTTCATTTTCATCATCATTTTCATCACTGTTGTCATCATTTTCTGATGGAGAGAGATATGTTCGCATTGCAGTCAGGAAAGGGTTTTTTCCATCTCCGCACAGGTCTTTGAAATCATCCATTGAAGTATCCCAAACCATTCCACCTGCTAGCCCCATGTCTTTGATGTACTGCATCTGCAAAAGTGAGACTGTATAAAAACTGATAAACAATTACTGGCATCTGACCTATCTGAATTTTGATTTAAGAACAATAGTATTACCTTTATTTTAACTGTTTCAAGATCATCAAATCCAACCCACTGGTCCCCCATGTAGGCATGAGGACCAACAATGCATTCATCACCCTTAACTTTAGTCCAGCCCTTGTCCTTGATGTTTAGGCAGATCTCATGATATCCCATATAACCTGCTTGTTTTGTCCACTTACCTAAAAGTAGAGTTCACATATTATGAAGGTAGATAATTAAAAGTTATCATGGATTAGTTTCAGTGCCTACATGGCTACTCTATAAGTCTATTTATATTAGCATCGTTACCTTCAACACCGGCTCCACTTGAATCAGCTCCGATCCCATTATTTGCAGAGTTTGTTAGAGTAAAAGACCGACCATAAATGCCTAGTCCCATCTGGATCTTGTTGGCTGGAAAGCCTTTAGCAATCCAGTGTTTAACAGCAGTGTCCGTGTTGAGTTTGTCAGCATTGCAACCTAAGAGAGGAGAATTGTGTCCTGTGACAGTCTCCCAAGAGCCATGGAAATCGTAAGACATGAGGTTAAGATAGTCAAGGTACTGAGCCAGAACTGGAACATCGTAGCCAGCATCAATGACAGCCTGACTGGCAGAAACAGCAGCAGTTACCAGCATATTGTGAGGAGCAAACAGCTCCTTCAACTCCTTTACCCAGATTCCAAAGTTGGTCTTGTCTGATGGATCTGGGTTGGGTAGATTGTGTTATTAATGGCAGTACATAACTACAAAATATATCACTTTACTTTATTGATTTATAGAAGGAGTACTGTATCGGTATGTCCTAAGTTGTTGTTATATTTTATACCTGATTCAACACAATTAGCCTGCCAACAGGCGGGATACTCCCAATCCAGGTCCAGTCCATCAAACTTCCACTTGTGAAGAATTTCCAGAACATCAGAATTGAATGCCGCCCTGAAATTTGTTGGTGATTAATTGTACATTTATTATACATTTTTAGGTCAAGGAATGATCCTTAGATAAAGATGTGCATTCATATAATCTTAACAGGATTTAGAAAGTAAAGAGACTTGTATCTTAAGTTCAGCTAATATATCTAAACTCTACCTAAGCTGAGGGGATTTGGCTAGATCCGAATACTTGGAGCCTTCGCTGTCATTCCAGCCGCCAATAGCCAAGAGAACTTTTCTGACCCTGGATCCTGCAGCATTCTTTAAATCGACAATCTTTTTAAAGAACTCTCCTCCACCCACATCAGTGTCTGCCCAAGGATCATGGACCTTGATCTTGTTGTTGTCCAAGACAGCGAATGCGTAGTTTATAATGGTACAGAGTGTTGGGTCTACATTATCTGCTGAGTATTTACCGTTCCCCTCACGGTACCAGGCCCAGTTAATAAAGTAGCACACAACGTCCTTATCTCCATAGTTTTCCGAGGATTCATCATCGTTGTTTTCGTCATTTTCATCGTCATTTTCATCGTCATTTTCATCGTCATTTTCATCACCATCTTCATCATCATTTTCATCTTCATTTTCATCATCATTTCCATCACTGTTGTCATCATTTTCTGATGGAGAGAGATATGTTCGCATTGCAGTCAGGAAAGGGTTTTTTCCATCTCCGCACAGGTCTTTGAAATCATCCATTGAAGTATCCCAAACCATTCCACCTGCTAGCCCCATGTCTTTGATGTACTGCATCTGCAAAAGTGAGACTGTATAAAAACTGATAAACAATTACTAGCATCTGACCTATCTGAATTTTGATTTAAGAACAATAGTATTACCTTTATTTTAACTGTTTCAAGATCATCAAATCCAACCCACTGGTCCCCCATGTAGGCATGAGGACCAACAATGCATTCATCACCCTTAACTTTAGTCCAGCCCTTGTCCTTGATGTTCAGGCAGATCTCATGATATCCCATATAACCTGCTTGTTTTGTCCACTTACCTAAAAGTAGAGTTCACATAATATTATGAAGGTAGATAATTAAAAGTTATCATGGATTAGTTTCAGTGCCTACATGGCTACTCTATAAGTCTATTTATATTAGCATCGTTACCTTCAACACCGGCTCCACTTGAATCAGCTCCGATCCCATTATTTGCAGAATTGGTTAGAGTAAAAGACCGACCATAAATGCCTAGTCCCATCTGGATCTTGTTGGCTGGAAAGCCTTTAGCAATCCAGTGTCTAACAGCAGTGTCCGTGTTGAGTTTGTCAGCATTGCAACCTAAGAGAGGAGAATTGTGTCCTGTGACAGTCTCCCAAGAGCCATGGAAATCGTAAGACATGAGGTTAAGATAGTCAAGGTACTGAGCCAGAACTGGAACATCGTAGCCAGCATCAATGACAGCCTGACTGGCAGAAACAGCAGCAGTTACCAGCATATTGTGAGGAGCAAACAGCTCCTTCAACTCCTTTACCCAGATTCCAAAGTTGGTCTTGTCTGATGGATCTGGGTTGGGTAGATTGTGTTATTAATGGCAGTATAACTACAAAATATATAATTTTACTCTATTGATTTATAGAAGGAGTACTGTATCGGTATGTCCTAAGTTGTTGTTATATTTTATACCTGATTCAACACAATTAGCCTGCCAACAGGCGGGATACTCCCAATCCAGGTCCAGTCCATCAAACTTCCACTTTTGAAGAATTTCCAGAACATCAAAATTGAATGCCGCCCTGAAATTTGTTGGCGATTAATTGTACATTTATTATACATTTTTAGGTCAAGGAATGATCCTTAGATAAAGATGTGCATTCATATAATCTTAACAGGATTTAGAAAGTAAAGAGACTTGTATCTTAAGTTCAGCTAATATATCTAAACTCTACCTAAGCTGAGGGGATTTGGCTAGATCCGAATACTTGGAGCCTTCGCTGTCATTCCAGCCGCCAATAGCCAAGAGAACTTTTCTGACCCTGGATCCTGCAGCATTCTTTAAATCGACAATCTTTTTAAAGAACTCTCCTCCACCCACATCAGTGTCTGCCCAAGGATCATGGACCTTGATCTTGTTGTTGTCCAAGACAGCGAATGCGTAGTTTATAATGGTACAGAGTGTTGGGTCTACATTATCTGCTGAGTATTTACCGTTCCCCTCACGGTACCAAGCCCAGTTAATAAAGTAGCACACAACGTCTTTATCTCCATAGTTGTCCGAGGATTCATCATCGTTGTTTTCGTCATTTTCGTCATCATTTTCATCGTCATTTTCATCGTCATTTTCATCACCATCTTCATCATCATTTTCATCTTCATTTTCATCATCATTTTCATCACTGTTGTCATCATTTTCTGATGGAGAGAGATATGTTCGCATTGCAGTCAGGAAAGGGTTTTTTCCATCTCCGCACAGGTCTTTGAAATCATCCATTGAAGTATCCCAAACCATTCCACCTGCTAGCCCCATGTCTTTGATGTACTGCATCTGCAAAAGTGAGACTGTATAAAAACTGATAAACAATTACTAGCATCTGACCTATCTGAATTTTGATTTAAGAACAATAGTATTACCTTTATTTTAACTGTTTCAAGATCATCAAATCCAACCCACTGGTCCCCCATGTAGGCATGAGGACCAACAATGCATTCATCACCCTTAACTTTAGTCCAGCCCTTGTCCTTGATGTTCAGGCAGATCTCATGATATCCCATATAACCTGCTTGTTTTGTCCACTTACCTAAAAGTAGAGTTCACATAATATTATGAAGGTAGATAATTAAAAGTTATCATGGATTAGTTTCAGTGCCTACATGGCTACTCTATAAGTCTATTTATATTAGCATCGTTACCTTCAACACCGGCTCCACTTGAATCAGCTCCGATCCCATTATTTGCAGAATTGGTTAGAGTAAAAGACCGACCATAAATGCCTAGTCCCATCTGGATCTTGTTGGCTGGAAAGCCTTTAGCAATCCAGTGTCTAACAGCAGTGTCCGTGTTGAGTTTGTCAGCATTGCAACCTAAGAGAGGAGAATTGTGTCCTGTGACAGTCTCCCAAGAGCCATGGAAATCGTAAGACATGAGGTTAAGATAGTCAAGGTACTGAGCCAGAACTGGAACATCGTAGCCAGCATCAATGACAGCCTGACTGGCAGAAACAGCAGCAGTTACCAGCATATTGTGAGGAGCAAACAGCTCCTTCAACTCCTTTACCCAGATTCCAAAGTTGGTCTTGTCTGATGGATCTGGGTTGGGTAGATTGTGTTATTAATGGCAGTATAACTAAAAAATATATCACTTTACTCTATTGATTTATAGAAGGAGTACTGTATCGGTATGTCCTAAGTTGTTGTTATATTTTATACCTGATTCATCACAATTAGCCTGCCAACAGGCGGGATACTCCCAATCCAGGTCCAGTCCATCAAACTTCCACTTTTGAAGAATTTCCAGAACATCAGAATTGAATGCCGTCCTGAAATTTGTTGGCGATTAATTGTACATGTATTATACATTTTTAGGTCAAGGAATGCTCCTTAGATAAAGATGTGCATTCATATAATCTTAACAGGATTTAGAAAGTAAAGAGACTTGTATCTTAAGATCAGCTAATATATCTAAACTCTACCTCAGCTGAGGGGACTTGGCTAGATCCGAATACTTGGAGCCTTCGCTGTCATTCCAGCCGCCAATAGCCAAGAGAACTTTTCTGACCCTGGATCCTGCAGCATTCTTTAAATCAACAATCTTTTTAAAGAACTCTCCTCCACCCACATCAGTGTCTGCCCAAGGATCATGGACCTTGATCTTGTTGTTTTCCAAGACAGCGAATGCGTAGTTTATAATGGTACAGAGTGTTGGGTCTACATTATCTGCTGAGTATTTACCGTTCCCCTCACGGTACCAGGCCCAGTTAATAAAGTAGCACACAACGTCTTTATCTCCATAGTTGTCCGAGGATTCATCATCGTTGTTTTCGTCATTTTCATCGTCATTTTCATCGTCATTTTCATCGTCATTTTCATTGTCATTTTCATCACCATCTTCATCATCATTTTCATCTTCATTTTCATCAGATGAATCACCTTCATTGTTTTCATCACTGTTGTCATCAATTTTGCAATCTACTTGTGCTTCCCAGTTGCACTGCAAAGACGAATATAAATGGAAAAGCTATTCTAACTAATTTCCCAAGGAGTAAATTACATCAATAAATCACATTTTATATTAATTTGTAGTTTATAAACTTTGTTCCGACTCATGGATCTCCTTATCTCCTACTGCATTGATTATTTCAGAGTATTTTTAAATGTCTGATTTTAAATTTTTAAGGCTATTATGTTACAAGGACAACTTACGTTCTGAATGTCTTGATCCCAAAGTGTCCCATCTGCACAGGGGTACCTCCAAGCTACACCAGACCCACAGTTGTAGTAATATTCACAAGAGGTAGGGTCAGTAAACAGACCATTTGGATCAGGACAGTCAAAGTCTTGGTCGTGTTCTTGAGATAGTGCTCCTGCAATCCAACATAACAGGAAGAGTGCTATCATCTTTAAATAGTTTGGTTTAGTAACAGAACTTGGTATATATACGAGAAGTTATAATCCGGTCGCATTATCGCAATATCCTTCATCTCAAATCGACACAAAACCAATTAAGATTTTGAAAAAAAGCTCGAATCAAAGAGAGAAAAAAGTAGGATTCGAAACACAGTACAGAAACCAGAAGGTGCACTTGAACCACTGCACTGGCGACTCCAACAACAACTGGATAAGAATGAGGAATATCATAATATACCAGCTACCACAAGCTAGTATACTGGCATTATACTGCAGTAGTTTCTCTTTTATAACAGGTCGAACTAGAACGTCGAGTAAACAATGCATATTCTATGTAATTTCTTAACCACTTGTATAAATTCTATGCCATCTAAACAGTTCCATTGTCTTGTTTTGCTAAAGGGGGCATGAAGAAGAACATAACCCCGGAATGTCGTTGTCCTTTGTTATGTCTGCGATCATTTCACCTGTAAACAAAGAAACAGAGAAAGGTCACACTGTCACCAACAAACATACCAACAAACAAGTCACCAGGTATTGTGAAGACACACTGATATTGATCATTGTTTACATATTTAACAAGAAGAGACACCTAAGCATACCTCTTGGAAGTTTACCCTTTTGGATGTGTTAAAATATGAATATCCTAAATAATGATAAAAGTTTAGATAGATTTCAAGCTTTTCATGCTTGGTTTGGGTCACAACTTTACATCCTTTGGTGTTAGGACTTGAGGAAATGGTGTGTAACTTTTCTTGTAGTTTCTGAAAGGACATGACAGAGTGAACAAATCCTCAAATAAAACAAATTGAAATTGAGAACCTAATGAGGCCAGGTTGTTGACCTCAGCGCGGAGGTGCAGTCTATACTGATAGGTGCAATATATAATAGCCTTGCTTCTGTTTTAAGACCCGACAGTAATCCTGGGTTTTGATTGGTCATTGATGGAAGCTGGTTGGTTGATAACAGTCACGTGACATAAAATATTATGGTTACCGCTTCACCAGTATCCAGACTTATTAACCTACTGATAATTATTTCACATGTGACATCAATTCTTCACATCAAAGTTTGTGAAGACACCGCGTGTGAATCTGACTGTGTAATTTTCTTCATCTCACAGCGATAATATTTAACAATATGAATTAGTCATTATTATCATGGTGATTTAAGTAAGCTACTGTTCCGAATCTCTCTGTTCATGTGATTCGCTGTAATCTCCTGACTTGTGCACAAAGGACAGTATCTCTGCCGGTGTAGAATGAAATGCTAGTGTAGTATCCGGAACAACTGTGCCTTTTTTCATCGGTGTTTTTCCTCGTTCAATCGTTGTGAAACATCACGTTGCTTATATTTGCTCCAAATCCTGTGTCTGGTCCGTCAGTCAGTCAGTCAGGCGGTTTCACGAATTCTGGTCAACTGTGACGTAACATAAATACATATTTATGACAAACATTACAAAATAGTCAACACAAGAATATCAAAATATTAATTCAAGTAACCAAGTGTAATGTATGCTGCAGCTAAGTCTGATAAATACACTCTTTTGGACAACAATATTGATGCAGTCAAACAATTCTTTGTTAGTTGAGTTGAAAGAGCTAAAAAGCATGCATCTCCTCAAAACAAGAGTGCAGCTACATTTCAGTCTTCATCGATCCCAGACACTAACAAAGAATATAATCCTTGGAATGATAAGCAGAGAACAAATAATCTGTCTAAAGTGGTTTCTGTACAAAAGGACAATAATGGTAAAATCATCAATGATAACGACAGACTCCGAAAACAAATTGATGAATTAAAAACCTTTTTCTTCCAATCCAACTACCCTAAAACTATGGTAGATAACATCAGTGAAAAAGTCAAAGGCTTTGAAAGATGCCTCAAACCACTGGACAACTCAAACAGCAGTGTCCTGGTCCCAAAGTCTCCAGAACCAGCAGTCCGCGTTATTTCAACATTTGGCAGCGATCAAGAGTTAGTTGAATCGGTAAAAAGATTGGAACCAGAACTCAGTAGAACCAGGAGCTTCTCAGGATTATCTGGTTCCCATACAAGTGGAAACACCCCAGGCTCCCCAATATCATCTAGAGCCAGTACATCACGCCCTATCTTCAAATTCGTCAGACGTACTGGAACATCATTTAGAAGGAAGTTAGTCAAAGCAAAACAGTTTGCGGATGACTTAACCCAACCTCACACAAGACCATGTGGGGGCAGACACTGCGGTACCTGTAACATCATATCTCCACATCCATCAATAACAGTCAATGGACAGCGAGCCAAAGCAGTGTCTGGTACATGTGTCAGCTACAATGTTGTATACATCTTCAGTTGCCAACTTTGTAATATGTGTTATGTAGGAAGAACGGTGCAGCCCCTAAGGGCACGAGTAAACGAACATCGCGCTCATTACTACAAACTCATTTCGGACAATACGTTTGTCCCTGAAGAAAACGACGACGGATTCAGCTTGGGCAAACACCTTGTAGAAGTTCATAACATGAAACAACGTGACAATTTCAACCAGGCTTATAAAGTGTCAATTCTCAGTAATAGTAGCCCAAGAACTCTAGAAGTGGATGAACACCGTTACATTCAGAAACTAAGAACTATACGTCCATTGGGGCTCAATGCCGTGGACCCGTTTGGGATTCCATTATTGGATTTATCTTAAAGGTTTTCCATTGCATTGGGGCACAAAAGTTATGTTTTTAAAAATATTCATAGGTATCGTTTTTATTTGTTTCATTTCATTTCCAATGTTACACTTTGTAGGAACTGATATTAACCGAGTTTCTGATTCAGGATGTTACTGAAGATAGTAATGAAAATGTTTTAACACCTCAGTACTGTGTTTTACTACAGCTCAACCTGCTCAGTCTGACTATTTGGGAATTTAAACTCTTGATAATGGTAAACTAATCAACTCTGAAAAACTTGAAAAGATATGTGTACAAAATGGTTTCTCAGTGCACAAAACATTTCACATGAAGAAATCTGATACTACTGGAATGGTACTTAATCCTCAAACTGATGTTGATGTTCTGACTGCTAAACTTAGGGATGCTGATCATTCAGTTGTGAAAGTGTCGACTGAGTACCGATTGTTCACATTGTAGGATTATCAAAGGAATACACTGCGGATGAATTAAAATCTATAATCTTAAAACAGAATCCTGGAATATCAACACTATTTGAATGTACCTCTACGTCTATTGATGATAAACTGATCGATATCTTGGCTGTTGAACCTCTCAAAAACAATGTTCAAATCTTTAAGGCAATTGTAAAGGTCAGCAAAGTTATTAGATCCATTCTTGCTAAGTTTGAATAACTGTGCCTTTTTTCATCGGTATTTCTCCTCGATCAATCGTTAAAAAACATGTTGTTTATAGTTTCTCCAAATCCTGTGTCTGGTCTGCAGGCTTTGTCACAGTCAGACTGTTTCCGAGATTCTAGTTATTGTATCGTGACATGGTGGTTTGGGTGCCTGTTAACTGTGAAATAAATTAGTATCTATGACAAACATTACAAAATAATCAAAACAATATGATTGATTCAGGTAACCTTTAACAAGGTGTAGTATATGATATTATACATTATTATACATTATGCTTTTAGGTATAAAAGTCTTAAAATGTATTTTTCACTTTACTGGTAATTCAACCAATTTGAGCGCCTCATGAGGTTCACGCCAGAGACAATGTACAAAATGTACAAAATGTACATACTATGCTAGTCAGTATTTAGAGTCTTGTATATCAAGTGTAATTTCCTTTGCTTAAACATGTTGTTTCGTAGCAACACTGATGCGTTCTTGCGGTCTTTTCAATCTTTTTTGGGTCTGTTTGTGAACTTTCAAATTGTTTGATAGATATCGATTTTATCCTTTCTTGTATTAAGTTGTTCATTTGGGTAGTTTATATTTAATACTGCTGAATATGTCAACATTGGTGCTATCAGACTTCTATTTATTATTACTGTATTTGTCTCGTCTGAATAGTAAAATTATACTGTTTTTTTCCTTGATGTTTTCAATACCCCAAACCAGCTGATAGTACTTAATCATTAACAAAGTTTACCTTTTGCACATAGATTGCGGAGAAAGTCTACTGGTAGCTTCCACTACCGTTACCGTGGAAACTCAACAAAGTGTTAAGCTGTGATCCAGCATCGCCGATATTCCAGTTCAACACGTCATATTTATCAGAACAAATCCTTCTGAGAACTGTTCAACTCATTTTAACGGAGCATTTTCAGCTCGGGCAGTTTCGAACTCTATAATAAACAGCAAGTACCTAGTAATAATATCCACCGAATTGATATCACCAAAAGAAACAAATTACTATGTCTTACGTCTCGTCTCTCGGGAATCTAGAGAAAAACTCCGGAATGCCGGACAGCGAGAATGAAAACAAGCGACTGATGGACCGACCTGCTAAGAGATACAGCAGTCAAGACACAGAGGGACCTGCTAAGAGATACAGCAGTCAAGATACGGAGGGATCTGCTAAGAGATACAGCAGTCAAGATACGGAGGGGTTTGAAGGTTACGAAGAGGGGCATGTTTACAGTTCTCCCTATGCGCATCATCCGCCCTATGTGCAACACCCTGACGAAATAAAAGTAAGTCTAAACTTTTGCATTTCTTAATTTGTATAATGTATAAACTAACCCTTAGATACAATAGTTTAAATGTATAATATATAATCATGTATATTCTATGCAATATAAATATATTATTATATTGTAATAGATACTAGATATTTAAAACCCAACTATCTTCCTCGTTTTGCTGACAACCGTCTTCCCTTCTAAATCTTCCTCCAGAACAGTAGTTCTTCTCTGAAACCTATAAACGTTCTCTCTCGACTTTAACAGTGGTTACATAGTTACAGTATACACTACACAGTATAATGAGTGTACATTGTACACTGTACACTGTAAAACTATAGCTTAGAGGGGAATTAACAATTGTTAAATTATCAATCAACAATACATCAATTGGCTATAATTGTAAATTCAACTATAATCTATTGTTATCCTCATCTTTATCACAATCAGATAACATTAACATCAGAATCGTAATAAAGAGGTCACCTTTTGCCTAAGTACTTTTCCTTACAACATTTAAATTACCTGCATTTATCATATAATATGTTAATTAAGTGAGTGCAGTAAGACGTATAAATTGTGAGTTTTTAACTCTTTATTATAACTCTAAAAATCACACAATGAAACTATTTGACACAAATCGAAGACTCATCCCATACTGACGAAGTAATTACTAAAATTCTTTAAATTATAACTAGGTAAATTAGATAGGTAAATTAGCCCTCTGGCAGACATTTAAAGTCCCACACGTATTTGCCCCCTGGTGCAGTGTGCTATAGAAGAAATGTTTCCATCTGTTATTATATCTAAACGATAACTACGGTGATATCTGAAACCAATTTGGAATTGGAGAGCGAGATTATTGATCGATTCACTAGGACTTAGTTCCACCGGGTCCCGGGATCTTGTAGTGCTCATCGTTCTGCAGCCTTTATGTTATCTTCATCTCGATCAATTCAGGATTCACTCTTGTTCAAATGCAATTATGATCAAATCGCTTAAATGTACATCTTATAGCAATAATATTACCATTATTATGATATAATTTTTTATGTCTCGTCTACATATTTTCACTCAGTCTGGAATTTCAATGAATACTCTTGTCTTATACACAATAAAATAAGAAACAGGCAATTCTTTATTTCCACACAAACTAGCCAAATGTCGCTAGAAAATACAGCTGTAATAGTGTTAATTACCTAACATAATACTACCTGCTGAAATGCATGGTTAGTCTGTTGTACCGGAGCAAAATATGAAGTTATTCTAAATAAATTACATTCAATTTGAATTTATAAACGACTGCTTGATTATACAATGCACATGCCATGCACATACCATGCACATACCATGCTCATATCATGATATTTCAACAATTTACACCACATTTTCTCTACAATAATTATGAACCAGGTAACACGATGTATCCTACACACGTTATACTTATGTGTTACTGCAGCTCTTCTGTCATTTGTACGGCTTGCGTATCCGTGTTCACTGTTACTGTACCCGCGATAATTTAACTACAATTGTTGGATTTTAGTGTTGCTTTTGTTGTGTGCATAGCTCTCTGAGCAGAGATCTCTGTGACCGTCTGACTTAGGCTTTATGTTTCGTAGCTTGTACAGTGTGAGTACATTAATACGCTCTGAGTAGCGTAATATCCGGATCGTAACATTATTTATAGTTGTATCTTGGGTAAAATTTGTATTGATCCCGTTTCTTACGACAAGGAAAAACCTCTTATCAGGAAAGGAATTATTCGACGTTTCAATGTAACAACATCGTATTCATGATCTTAAATTATTTGTTATATATAGTAGTGTTGAAAGTATTAGAATTAGTATGGTATGAGGAGGCATACTATACTTACAGTTTCGGGAGGAGTCGTGGGTGTGTGATGTATAAGCAGGAAGTGTTCGTACTTTCTAGCACCAACCACGGAAGGGTATATTATAATAATTAATATAATGGATTATAACAAAATATCCACAGATTTGGATAGGCCATTGATATTTTATTGTTAATGAGTTGATGAGTTAATGAGTTAATTATAAAATACCGGATAATATTACGTTGTGTTATTCAAGAAATATGTTACAGCAACAGTTTAAATCATGGCTGAGTCTGAGAAAGAAGTAGAAGATGTAAGTTGAAAATTGTGTCTCTTTTTGAAAACCAGTGCTCTTTCTCTCTTTCCTTGCCTCATTTACCTCTTAGTTTCCCAGGTAAATTGTAGCAATGTTTTCAGTGGTCTTCACCCTTCAAAAAGACGGTGACTAATCTCGCACTTCCTAGTTTTAAATCTATTTATAGAATTAGATGATTGCTTGGATATTTTTAAAATATTCTTAGATTTTCAGTTCTTCGCTGACCTTCAGATTGGTCAGTAAATTGGAGCATTTTGGAAAGATTGTGTCCATCTACAGAAAATTACCTGTTATTGAATGCAGACAATGATTGACGCACAGCTATATTGGCCTCCTAGATTTCACTTAGGTCCTCGCAAAAAAGGACTGTTCTGCCATCAACCTTATATATATATGTTAGGTTTTCCAGGTAACAAAAAAGAGTTTTAACTCTTCTATACCAATATGAACATTCCAGCTGTCTGTTTAGCGTAGAATGTGAAGAATGTCGATTATGGCTTAGTTCTGTAAGAGTAAGACAATAAAACTCTTGATCAGATAAGATCTTTCATACAACTGTTCAGTTTTCAAAGCTTTCATTGTGTGCCGGGCTATGTAATCAGTTTTTACACAGACTAAATTAAAAGACGCCACCTAGATCTCTCAATGAAGCAGTGAACGAGTGAAATACCGTTTTCACTATTTTTTGGAAACTTGGTTAAAATCAGAGTGCAGTCTGAAGCATAATAATAAGATCTCTAAGCATTTCTGCTGGTTTTAACCATTATGCTATTATGCGTAATTCTTTTATCTTGTATTTAATCACCTTCCCGTAAAGCACAATTATTTGTTATTGATACATGTTTATCTAACACTGTACAGTGTACACTGATACAGATATCTCGATGATATCATATCTACCCCTTTCTAACAATGTGCCCCTGAAGGACGCTAAATCTCGATGATATCTACCCCTTTCTAACAATGTGCCCCTTAAGAACGCTATACCTTGATAATATCTACCCCTTTCTAACAATGTGCCCCTGAAGGACGCTATATCTCGATGATATCTACCCCTTTCTAACAATGTGCCCCTGAAGGACGCTATATCTTGATAATATCTACCCCTTTCTAACAATGTGCCCCTTAAGAACGCTATATCTTGATGATATCTACCCCTTTCTAACAATGTGCCCCTTAAGAACGCTATATCTTGATAATATCTACCCCTTTCTAACAATGTGCCCCTGAAGGACGCTATATCTTGATAATATCTACCCCTTTCTAACAATGTGCCCCTGAAGGACGCTATATCTTGATAATATCTACCCCTTTCTAACAATGTGCCCCTGAAGGACGCTATATCTCGATGATATCTACCCCTTTCTAACAATGTGCCCCTTAAGAACGCTATATCTTGATAATATCTACCCCTTTCTAACAATGTGCCCCTGAAGGACGCTATATCTTGATGATATCTACCCCTTTCTAACAATGTGCCCCTGAAGGACGCTATATCTTGATAATATCTACCCCTTTCTAACAATGTGCCCCTGAAGGACGCTATATCTTGATGATATCTACCCCTTTCTAACAATGTGCCCCTTAAGAACGCTATATCTTGATAATATCTACCCCTTTCTAACAATGTGCCCCTGAAGGACGCTATATCTTGATAATATCTACCCCTTTCTAACAATGTGCCCCTGAAGGACGCTATATCTCGATGATATCTACCCCTTTCTAACAATGTGCCCCTGAAGGACGCTATATCTTGATAATATCTACCCCTTTCTAACAATGTGCCCCTGAAGGACGCTATATCTTGATGATATCTACCCCTTTCTAACAATGTGCCCCTTAAGAACGCTATATCTTGATAATATCTACCCCTTTCTAACAATGTGCCCCTGAAGGACGCTATATCTTGATAATATCTACCCCTTTCTAACAATGTGCCCCTGAAGGACGCTATATCTTGATAATATCTACCCCTTTCTAACAATGTGCCCCTGAAGGACGCTATATCTCGATGATATCTACCCCTTTCTAACAATGTGCCCCTTAAGAACGCTATATCTTGATAATATCTACCCCTTTCTAACAATGTGCCCCTGAAGGACGCTATATCTTGATGATATCTACCCCTTTCTAACAATGTGTCCCTGAAGGACGCTATGACAGTTACCTCGCAACCCGGATCAGCTGCAGGAAGCACGAAAGAGATAGAGGAGTACCTGGTGCAATTGGCCCCGTCTGAGATTGCCAGTTAGTATCACTTATAAAATAGATGATTTTAGCTGAAAATAGTTTTCTGAGTTCTCAAATTGAGCAAGTAATTGATAACACCGAGAATTAAAATCTCTCCTTGTTTTGATGAGCCCAATAAGTAATTATTTTGTATTGAATACACAGTACACACCTACACACTCAGGCCACTACTATAATTCTATTTCGCTATCAGATTACCAAACTAACCTCCAATCAGAGTGGACAACAGATGAAGTGTGTACTCAGTTCCTGGAGAGAATAGAGTTCGCTTATCTGATAGAGAACTTTAAAGTTAACAATATAACTGGCAGGGTGAGGTCTTTTTCCCTATTATTTCACTATTATTTCACTATTATTTCACTCTTATTTCACTATTATTTCACTGTTATTTCACTATTATTTCACTCTTTTCAGAGAAGACGGTGTGATTCAAATGTTTTAGAGGTTACTCCTCTCTTATTTGCTAGGATTTAAATATTATCCCAAAGTCCCAAGGGCCAAGCCCCCAAATTAAAACAAATTTAAAAATTGGAGAGGCCGAATAAGAAAATGAAGATCTATAATTATTATAATATTATGTTATTATGATTATAATTTCCAAACACAGGTTTTACTGATGTTGGAGGAGAGGAATTTAGTGGAGATGGGTGTTAATGTTATCGGGGACAGACTCATGATTCTCAGCTATCTCAAACTACTCAAAAAGAAGAAGGTGAGCTGTTTAAAACACTAGATATTGCGTGTGCGTAGTTCGTGATGAGGGGGGAGGGGGGAGGGGGGTGTTGTAAAGCAGCAAAGTTACTTCTGATTTCATGAGAGAAGCTAGAACTTTGTCGACAAATTACAGTGCCAGAAGGTATATAATATAATTTAGTACTATTAGTGATGAGTAGCAATTTAGGGCTTTAGGGAGAGAAAATTGGTGATATTGGTGATAATTTTGGGATCTTATGATATCTTATTTGATAAGATCACTGCCCACTGGCCACTGGCTGCCGGCCGGCCACCCTTGCATAACTGAAACTCAGTCTCATTAACGCACTATGCTTAATGCTTATGTAACATACATAATATATATGTCCAATAAGCGTTATAATGTTTTATGACTTGCTTGTCATCTTCTGAGAATGCTGATGTGGTAAAGTCAGGAAAACATTTTCGATGATTTGTATGACGTGTCCATTGTCCAAATGTCCATGTCCCCTGCGTAATTACTGCATTATTCCAATCCGTTCGTCAAAATTAATTCACACTAACAGTTTTGTATTAGTAACTAAATCAAACAGAGTTTTTAACAACTACTACAGAATCAGATGTACTACTTCTTTTAATCTAAACCATTTTTCAATCGGGTCAAGCTAAATAATGTGTTACCGATAGTGTTACTAAATGTGTTACTGATAGTGTTACTGATAGTGTTACTAAATGTGTTACTGATAGTGTTACTGATAGCGTTACTAAATGTGTTACTGATATTGTTACTAAATATGTTACTGGTATTATTACTGATAGTGTTACTAATAGAGTTACTGATAGCGTTACTGATAGCGTTTCTAAATGTGTTACTGATAGTGTTACTAAATGTGTTACTAATAGTGTTACTATTTCCTGTAGATAGAAGCAGACAAGATGGCTACCCTCTGGCAGGGGGAGACCCCTGCACCCGGGCTAGCCTACAGTGAGGACTGTTGCCAGTGCATGTCCAAGATGTGCTGCCCGTGCTGCATCACGCGCAAGTTGTGGCGCATCACCGGACAGGGTATATTCTACCGGATAGTGCCTCCGTGCAGTATGTTTACTGAGGGTGAGTTGTTGTTTGTAGGTAGTTTACCTCCGTGCAGTATGTTTACTGAGGGTGAGTTGTTGTTTGTAGGTAGTTTACCTCCGTGCAGTATGTTTACTGAGGGTGAGTTGTTGTTTGTAGGCAGTTTTCTGGAGGGTTCTGGAAGGTTCCTGATTATAAATGAGTGTTTTTGTAGATTCCTGTTGTGTAAAATAGATTGGGTAACTTGTGGAATGTGGAGGTCATAGGAAAATATGTATGGAATGTGGAAAGACTGTGTCGTTACACACTCTAACGTCATTCTTCAGTCTAACGTCATTCTTCGGTCTTTCTTCATTCTTCAGTCTTTAATTAGATAATTGAATTAGGTTCAGCGTTTTGAGTTGTGTACTTTAAAATAAGAGTTATTATAACGTATCATCAGAACGTTTGCTATCGATGAGATCATGTCAGACTGCAAACGTCTGTTAACTATACAACCTATACCTCGCACCTGTTCAACATTATAATTCAATTAACCACCAGTACGGCCATCTCTTTATTTGTCAGCTATGAGGAGAGGTATTGTGAAACTTTACAAGTTCATGATATCGAGTTACGGATGTGATTTCATCGACACTGCAGAAACTTCTAATAGCAGTAGAGACGAATACGTCTTAAAAATAGATTTACCGAGCGAACTAGCTTGCAAAGGATTATTGATATTTTTAGTCCCACTTGGTGTCCTTTATTCATTTTATCCGTTAATTGGATAATTGGGTAGTTAGCTAATTACAGAAAATTAAAATATGTTATTGACTCAAAGTGATCGAAAGTGAATAAAACGAGGAGAAAAGTATTTTTTTTAATAAATCGAATTGTTTAAGTCAAATGACGTGATCAAATTGCATTAAATTATCAAATGTGAAGCAAAGTAGGTTTCAGAAAAGTTTGAAAAGTTTACTTTTCGGGAATGTTAAATAACTTAGACTCTGAATCTGAAATTTTCAGGATATGTTCTGGGGATCATTTAAAGAAACCAATCGAGCCGAATTTTGAGATAGGCCTTAGAAAATGTCTTATTCGATTTTGAAAATCTTGGACCTGGAAAAATTTTACATAAGTGCTGACCTTTGACCGGCGATAATTTCGGCTAGGAACAATATTTTCCATGGGACCAAAAGCAGCTGATAGATATCACTCCCCTCTATCATCACGATTATTGATTAGTACATTTTTCGTTTAGAAATGCTGACGGGCGTAGGCAGGGAAATTAGTTTGCGACTGATTTAAACATTTTGATCAACAGAGTTCAGTTCACCGAAGTACTAATATTCAGGAAATTAGCAAAGTTTTATTGTTAATAAAATGATGTAGCTCTAACATTGGAAATGAAATGCTCGATTGTATCGGATTGTTTACATCCAAATAAGGAGACAACATCGCCTGGTAGGTTGAAACCTAGCAGTCTGGTTATCTTTGACTTATGTAATGTTTGAAAAGATTTAGATTACACAAATGTCTTTGAAACATGTCTGTGAGTAGATACGTGCCCGTAGCTGCATCACATCAATACAAAACTCGGAATACAGTCACCGATGCTAACCTGTTTACCGTGCTCATCAAAATGTGTATATGAAGATATGATTGTTTTACATATTTCCACTGAGGGTTCACAAATAAAATATGGGTCGGTCTACGATATAATATTTTATTATAGATAATAAAATATATATTATAATAATATATCTTCTACTATATCGACTTACTTCGACTTACTTCGACTTACTCGACTTCGACTTAGAATAAGTGAATAATTAATTGTGTTCAGATCGATCTACATTTAATTCAGCTGTTTCTTCGGTTGGGATGGATATTTTTGATACGATAAAAACTGTCTATCAAAGAACGATATAAGCCTCCTCCCTGTGACCACGGGCTTTCTATATAATATAAATTCAACTACTGCAGAACCTTTATATACTGTGCTTCTTTATTATATATTTTGTCCATTGTCATGGACTGACCTAATGCTCGCTATTTCGCATCGCTTTGACTGGCGTCATGCTCATTGCTTGGGTCATTTCGAAGAACTTTATACCGTATCAATATTGTCAATATTATACCGGGTACCTCGATAAACCGGGCTTTTTCTTTTATCCCAAAATACAGGTTTATAAGCTCGTGTTATGCAAGAAATGTGATACATTAATTAGCTTATATCGTATTTAATTAAATTATGGGGTAAATGATACCATTGACAGGTTATTTGAGAGGCTACAGAGTACAGATACTGAGGATTGGGATTCACTTTTCATCCCCGAGTGGTTTATAGAGGTTTTTTGTATATTTTAGGACCCTTATCGAGCTGTATTCGTAATACGACACAAGCAACAAAGTAAAAATCTTGTCATGAAATGTTCACCTAAAATTTTTTAAAATCTTCTCACAATCTTCTTAGTTCTGAAACGTCAAAAAAAGTAACTTTTAGCTGCCCTAGACGATCTTTGGTAAAATGCCTATCAATACTTATTATTCCCTCCGATTTCAAGTTGTGGAACACAACAAGAAAATTGAGAATAATCTTGTGCGAGGGTAGGGACCCAGATGTCGTTTCTAACCCAAATAAACTTTAAGGAGGAATCTCATCAGTAGCCGCACCTCCTTACTCGGTTTCTGAACTGAAATTCTATGGGCCTCCAGACGGCCAGACCGAGTATTACCATCCCATCCTTATAGAGTTCATCACAAGTAGCACCCATATAATAGGTATTCTGTATCTAGGTACATTAGGTATTTATGTATATTTAAGAGGTTGAGAGCTGCTAAGCCATTAGATACGCCTATAACTGCACTTGAAGTTGAGACAGCAGCCAAGAAACTAAAGAACGGTAAAGCCGTTGGTCCTGACAACCTCCCTAACGAATTCCTTAAGTATGCACCTCCTTCTTTCTACATGAAGTTTGCATCACTTATCAATGAGTCCTTTGAAAAACAAGAGCACGTTCAATCGTTCACTGAGGGATATCTTACCCCCCTACAGAAGCCTGGAAAACCAAAAGGACCAGTTAAGAGTCTGCGTCCCTTGTGCCTTCTCAATGGAACTAGGAAAATCCTTTCCATGATAACACTCCAGCGTATTCAACAACAGATAGCAGACTACACTGGGCCATGGCAGAATGCCTATAAATCAGGACACAGCTGCTCTAATATTGTCTGGACACAAAGGGTTCTTATTTCTGTTGTCAAGGAGAAACATTGGGAGTTTAGTAAAATGGGGATAGACATGTCATCAGCCTTCGACACAATACATCGGTCAACTATCCTCAGGCTACTCGAAGATGCAGGATGCTCAGAAGATGACATAAGACTAGTTAGATATCTGCTCGCTAACACCAAGCTCAGAATTAAGATCAAAAAGACGACATCGGGAGAGTTCGAAGTCACAATAGGAGCCTTTCAAGGTGACTGTTTGTCTGGCTCGCTGTTTACCATGTACCTAGCTGGAGCACTCTACCACCTTAGAGTTGTTGTTATACATCTACGCCCAAATCCCCCCATATCTGAAAGCTCCCTTCCTTTAGAATGGGAATATGCTGATGATGTGGACTTTGCTGATGAAGATGAGGATTCGTTACACCAGCTCCTTCCAATTTGCAAGGAAATTCTCTCAGAATGGAATTTGTTTGTAAATGAATCTAAAACCGAGTTTGTAAAGTGTTATCTGGCTGGAAGTAGTGAGAAGGACGAAAAAGGAGAACCTCTAAGAAATAGAGAACCTTGGAGGAAGTGTGTGTCCCTAGGCTCTAAGCTATGTAGTAAAGAAGACATACAGCATCGTATAATCCTTGGAAATGTTGCATTCGAAAAATACAAGAAAGTTTGGATGCAAGGATCTAAGATTAATCTGAAGACCAAGATTAAGATATACGAAGCATACGTTACATCTGTTATGCTCTATAACTGCAATAGCTGGGCTACCCCTCAGAACCTATTTGACAAACTTGATGCATGTCATAGAAGACACCTGCGTCAAATATTGAAGATGACTTATCCCATTATTATCAGTAATAAAGCACTCTATGAACGCTGTGGTGTAACACCGTTGTCAGAGCGAGTGACATATGCTCGCTGGAAAATGCTTGGACATGTCCTTCGCAGTGACTGCTCATCACCAGCTCAGAGAGCTCTTCAATTTGCTGTTAATGCGTTATTTACCATGAAAGGACGTGTTGGTCGACACCAAAGTAATCTTTTAAAGTTTATTATAAATGATTTGAATAAAAGAAACCTACCATTACGTGATATTAATGATCTTTATGATCTTAGGGCTACTGCCTCTAACAGAGTTTTGTGGAGAAAATTATTTACCTCATAATTAACCTTTATTTTTCAGAGAACTGTTATGTTTTTTTGGGCACTTATCAGTCTCTTATATTAAGATGTTTCTTTACTATTTTGAGATTGTTTTAAAAGTTAGATAATAATATAATAATAATAATAATAAATATAAGAGGTTGACGCCCCCCAAAAGCCAATGGCGCGGAATAGCGATAACCCCTTCCGTCATGGCTTATTTCCCCTTGAAGTAGGCATAAACGTGGGCGACTAATTGTTCAATTGGGAGCTTTGAATCACTCATAATACTTTATCACCACATCTTTAATACTATATAAACTTAACTCTTTTTATCTTTGCGACTAATAAATAATAATCCTATGAATGTCTCTCCTAAAGAGATCAAGGGTCGAAACTTAATGGTATCACCTTTCCAATCATGGAGAATGCATGAGTCACAACTGTTTTTGTAGTTTTGTCGCCGATATTGAAAAAGTTAGTTCAACTGTACAAAACAATAAGCTAGATAATTTAATCAATAATTTTTGTAATCACTATACAAGCCATTCCTAATATATTGTCAATGATAATAACATTCACAACATAAGACATACAAAAACATGTCAGTTATCCACTTTTATCAATGAAATTATCAAATGAAACTACTAAACACGGGAAAGTCTTTAACATGGTACAGTGTGCAC